CCATGGCCCTGGTTGGTGTGGTTTTCATGACTCCTATTATGTTGAGACATGTTATTCTTTGAATGCATTTTAGTTTGCGGATATCTGTCAATTGTTGGGTTTTCGGTACCAAGATAACTGCACAGTGAAATATCTATCTGTAAGTTGGGGAGGATGAGTTGGTTCACATCACTCAGGCCTCGCCTCCAAGTGGTGTTATTCTGTCTGTCCCATCCACATGAGTCACCTATAGTGGAATATTTGCATTTCTAATAACGAAAATTAGTTATGCTAATAGGCTTCCGTAATATTTTTGCCTTGGGGAAAGGCTTCATCCCCTAATATACATATAAAGCGTGTCATCGAAATTATCGTCTTCTGCGGTCGATAATTGGGTAAATTATGTGTGTTATTTAGATTTATGCGCATCTCGGGCGTCGCAACTCGAGCGGAATACTTAATTTTTCGCATTTCGGGCGTAAGGCTACAGGTAGATTAAATACCCTTCGCAACTCGGGCGTTCAAGGATCAGTACCAATATTATAGTAATATAATGAATGTCACCTCTTTAGTTTATTCTGAGAAGGTGCTTTCGGCTCAAACTTAAAATTATATACGGAGTGCCGTACAAGAGGAGCTTGCCAGTTTTTAAATATTATGTAACTTTCATAAAACAAGATTTTTTATTTATCTTTCTCTGCGAAAATAGTCTTTACATTACATTGTTATGACATTTGAAATTGTCGTTTTTATTGAAAAAAGTATAATTTAATTTTTATAAAATAATTAGATCGATAAATAATAGTGTACCTACCTCGGCTAGCTATTTAATTTTTATTTTAATACATTTTTTATGTACAGCGTGTCTGTGTACGTTGGCTACATATAGAAAACTTTTTTTTTATTAGTTTTATCAAAAAAAAATTAATCGAACCTTACAACATGTCTTAATATTTCGAGTGTACTTCGCAAGCCAGTTTTTCCGTTTTGTGACGAAAGTCTAATTTATTTTTAGTTTATTTATTTAAAACACACTATTTTCAATTTATTTCAGACCTACTATTTAATTTATATAATACTAACAATTATAATTTATTTCTTACACTTTAACTTTCCAATCCAATGTTCTATATTAAAACTGTCTATAATCAACAATTCTTCACACACGCGATATTTATATCAAGCCAACTCTGTAACCAGAATAATCCCGATGGTCGGTAAAATTCCAATTCTGACTCAACGGCACACTCCGTCCGTTCTACCTGTTTCTCGAGCCTCAGCGACATTCACAGAATATTCCATCGCCTCTAGCATGAATCGGCTGCCCAGACGTGAAGGCCGCGTGCTTAGACAGAGTCGGACTTAATAATTTCATGACAGTTCGTTAAGTCTTCCACGATGGCATTTATTTGTCGGTCGAGATTACTGTATTTTGTGACTCTTTTATTTAACTATATTTTAATATTATATTTAAACGTTGTTATGTAACTAAAAGTTATTCTTTTTAAATGTTATTATGTAATTGTGGTTCAACCGAAAGTTGGATATTAAGATACATACACGTTTAATATTAACGTTTCTTTAAATTACATAAAACTGGTAATAAAAACGTTATTGTATCGAAACACTTTGACGTTTTGTTTATATTTTACCTAAAAATATTAATTATTCTACTTTATTGCAATCATATTTTTAAACATTTTCATTGATTATACTTAGAATAAGTTGGTTTACGTTTGTTATGTTGTAAATGGCCAAGATTTGAAAAATTTCTCATTTGTAAGAAGAGAAAGAAGATGGGTTATGTTGTAGTCATTTTATTTTAAGTAATATAATTTTATTTTAGAGACAACCATATATTCTAAATAATTGGAAGTTTGCGGCTGTTGTTGGATACATTTCTGAAATATCACTATGTTATATTTCTGATAGGTTTCAAATTATTATTTATAAAATATATGAAATATTACATTTATAGGATATTTTTACATTTTAGGAATGTTTTAGAAATGTTTCTGAGGCGTTTCGTAATATTTATATATTATTTTATCATATTCATGATTTCCTTAAAATGGTCCGTATTCGAGAATTTTGACAAAAAGTGCAAAATTCGAATTTTAAAGAAAATTCTTCAAATAAAAGTTGCTTACAATGTAATTCTCTATAATTTTTGTTAAATACATTTCTCTAAAATAGACCGAATTCGGGAAATTTGAGGTAAAGTGCAAAATTCGAATTTTTCTCATTATTTTCACTTATAATACCACTAGTGACCAAATTATTTCCGGAAATATTTTAGAAATCGCGAATAATTTGAAAATGATCCCGATATCATGCTCTATATTTTTTATTCTACACATGATTTCTCTAAAATAAACCGTAATGGAAAAATCTTCAATTTTTTTACATCAACTAACTTTTCAATGCTCGCTATCTGTTAAAATCAAAGCTTGTTCTGCGATGTCATTCATTTCTCTTAAATTTTCGATAATTCATTACTATCTGAATCAGATTGTAATCAGAATCAGTGTACATAAACTATGGTCAAATTTCATATCCCGTCGACACCCGAGTTGCGAACTCACAGGTGCACAATTTTGGAGGGCGCCCGAGTTGCGACGAATTTAGGTAGTTTTATATTACGCCCGAGTTGCTAACGCACGAGTTGAGAAAGTACCGTTATTTAATATCTCTTTACCAAATTAACTTTTACGAAAAATTCCTCTGTAACTCCAATGTTAATATAGTTTGTAGAACCGTCTAGAATATTATAACGATATTATCTAATTATGTGTATAATTTGAGGGTTAAAGTACCTTTATAATTAATTATATATTCCTATTTATAACACACTAAGACAGTTCTGCGGATTTCATATTTTTCTTCTAATAGAAGTAGGAGTAACACCACTTATCAATCTTTTAAAATAGATTCATACAATGTATGAAAATATACTAAAAATTATTCATTTATCTGTCATAACGTCACAAGGCAAGGCATTTATCATTGAGATGATTTTTCTGTCAATCTAATGCCATTTATGTTTATATAGACATAGACCATCTACTGAATATACATTTATCTAGCAACATCGAAACCCACATCCTTTACTTTTCTGCACATACGAACGCATTTTAATATTCACTATAAAGCACAGCAGGGCCGAAAGTTATATCTTGCTGGCACTAGATGTATAAATATCGAATAAATTAACTGTACAATCCAGAGGTTTGTGTATTTTTTTTTATATTATCTTGTTTTTGTTTGTTAATTCGAGGAATATCGGAATTTCCCGGGCATGGTATATTTACGGTTATTGAATTTAAATATTATTTAAAACCTAGTTAATACAAGAGAAGTCGAGACCCAATATTCCAATTTTAGTTTTTTTTTATTTAATTAAAGTAGGTTTTGAAAGTGATTTTAATTTTAGTAAAAGATGCGTTGCATTTTAGCAGTTATAATGTTTTCAATACAATAAATGAAGTCGCATAAATTGAACAATGTATGTATCGTTAGTACTTACTAATTGTTTCTTGAGTACATTGGGGATTTCTTAGAAAACTTGGGTAATTTTCCCATTCCCACCATTAGATGTTTTATTTCATCTACGTTCGGTAGATATATTTATTTACTCACATTATAATGATTATTGCGCTTGTTCAATGTCAAAAATAATAGTAGTGATTTTATGTAGGTTTATATAATGTATAAAGATAATATTTGTCAATTTTTCCGTAAATTTGAACAATAATAACTATTTAATACAAAATTTAGGTGAAATATTCCATTGGAATTTCAATAGGTAAGTGTGGGGTGTTTTTCGAATGTTTATTTATTAGTTATTATTTTTAATTTTTCTTATCTTATATCCAGTGTGCTAATTATAGCTTATAATAAGATTAAATAATATATAGACAAATTAGTTCAGTGTAAAACTAACGGTATTTTAAAATTTGAGATGTTTATTTCTGCCAGAATTTTCTTCTAGAGCAACTTGCTTTCATTACCGTCATAGAACGTTTATTTTTTTCTCTTCAGAAATACAGTGAAGAGTATAATATTTTTTATTCGAAAATCTCATAATTTTTAAAACAACTGCATAAGATAAATAATTTGTGCAAAACATTTGAAAATATATTCAACATGCCTACTGTTTTTGCAAGTGGTCTTCATTTGACCAAAATTAGCTCGTAAAAGTCCACCGATAGTAGTTTTGAGGTATTAGTTATTTAATGATTTGGTTACGATTATCAAATCAATTATTTGGTAATTATGGAATTTTAAATTATAAGCAATTTTATGACATTTTTCGAGTTGTTCATTTTTTCTTGATAATATTGAATTTAAGGTTACATGGGCATTAGAAACTAAAAAATGTAAAATTTTGGATTTGGTTGCCTTCTCTTATATACCTACTGACGATATATAATAGGTATCTAACCTTTTAACTAAAATTAAAATAGAAAAACCGATGAATTAAGTTGATTTTCATAATTTGGAAATTACCCAAGAACTCGTTATTTTATTTTGAAGATAAGAGTAATGGCGATTTTGGGATATTACCCTCTGCAGGCAAAATGTTTAACCCTAAATTTACAAGCAATTGATGGCATTTTTTTTGGGATTTCTTCCATTTTTAAGGAATGTTTAATGCTTAATTATGTACTATTTTACTTTTACATGAATGCTTTACTGTTATTAGTGATGAACTGAACTCGCGATTTTAGTGCACAATGAATAATGTAATAGGCAGTGTCGAATCATTAATACGTATGTGATTCACTTATCTATTGAATAATTCGAGATCTATTAAGTATTTGTCACGATTTACATTATACTGTACGTCCCTATATTAATATAAAGATTCATAATTTCTATGAAATATATTGCGTAGAGCGTAGACTGTAATTAGATGGATATGACGTCATCTGCTTAATCTAACCCTTGCTCTTCGAGGTAGCACTTTTATTAATAAATAGTTTTTCTTATATTAAAAATGTACCACTATTTCTTTACAGAATGGCCGAAAAGTCGCAGAACCTAAACATTAACTCCTCAGGCGAAGGTCACAGCAATGAAGGGGGTGAAAGAGTGGCAGAAGGGAATTCGAACAGAAGTTCGCCCCCAAACAGCAAAAATAGTTACGCGCCTAATGAAACAACCCATTTATCTTCCAATCAAACATATTTTGCCGATGAGCGAATTCGAATACCCGAAACCAATTCAGTGAGTATGAATATGATTCATCACTAAAATGAAGTGATTCAATGTTTATCATTGAAAGACGACATAATATTGCGATAAGTAATAGGAAATATAGCTTCATTTTATTAAAAACAGGAAGAGGAAGACAAAGCCTGATCTGTTTACTTAAAAACATTCACTAACTGGTGGTAACTCATTTGCAACTATAATTAAAACTACAAAGAAGGATATTTTTTTTTTTAATAGTTTAATTTTATGTAAATGATCCTCTCTAGCGTTCAACTTCTTACTATCATATATAGATTTCGCCTTTCTTTTAATTAATTATATAATTTCTTAAATTTCTTAACTGTATGTCCCCATTCTTTGTATCTGTTAGTTAAAGGGGTTATTTTGAAATATTTGAAATAACGCTCATATATTATGGTCGTCCTAACTTTACCAGTTTTGGATTAAAATATTACAGCCATAAATTATTTTATTGCTGATAGTTGCCCAGCGACCCTTTAAAAAACTGTTTATGTGAATCACTGTTTATGAAACAAAATTATTAAAAAAATTTCGAGTCTACGAGGAGGCTACGGTGGCTGCTTTTGAAAGGCACACCCTATATAAAAATATATATTTCTATTAGAATACAAAAAGCAGAAATATTACATTGTATTCTAATAGAAATATACATACGGAGTGGCCCAAAAGTCTGGAAACGGCCAATTATCTCGTAAATTGCTAGTCCTAATTGTACAAAATTTGGGGTACACCTATTTTGGGATACGGAGATTCCAGATTTGATATTTGCAATGTTGCCAGATTTTCCGTTTCTCTTATATTATTAGTCACTTTGGTTTTTCAAATTGATCACCCTGTATATGATGGTAGGTGAGGTTTTCCGGGTTTTCCTCATCTGTAAGTCAAATGGCACCATCAATCATCTTTAAGTCGCCCCGGAGCGCCACGGCAAATAATAATAATAATAATAATAATAGTCGTCCCTTTCCCCGCACAAGCTCAGCTTTTGGGGTTACAATTCACTCGTTAGGGGGTGAATTAGGGAGAGTATTATTATTATTATTATTAAGTCATTATTGGAATCTCCTATTCAATACGAGTTCAACCATATGCAACACTTATGATTTTATGTAGTCTGGAAGGTCTTAAATAAATAAATCAATCATGGAGAAATGTGGTAAATGCACTCTATCATCGATTAGGGTACTGTCAACTCACAAATGAAACACATTTTGAACACTTGATAAAGTAACCATTATGTTAAAAATGGTGTAATCTTTCAATTGTTACGTTTTAATGTAGTTGAAAATAGTTTGTATTAAAAAATTTATGAGACAATTAGGCTTTGCCAGACTTCTGTTTTATTTATTTAAGACCTTCTAGACTACATAAAATCATAAGTGTTATATATGGTTGAACTCGTATTGAATAGGAGATTCCAATAATGACTTAATATACAGAGTGATCAATTTAAAAAATCAAAGTGACTAATAATATAAGAGAAACGGAAACTCTGGCAACATTGCAAATATCAAATCTGGAATCTCCGTATCCCAAAATAGGTGTACCCCAAATTTTGTACAATTAGGACTAGCAATTTACGAGATAATTGGCCGTTCTCAGACTTTTGGGCCACTCTGTATATTTGTATTAAGTATATATGAAGTGCCAGCCTCCTCCTAGACTAGGACACGAGCTGCCCCTGGTGGCACATTCACTCAATAAATGCTCTTTGTCAATAATTAGTTCTGTCTTCTGATGGAAACCAATGAAGTATGATGTTAGGTACATTGAATAGGTGCCACAAAGCTAACTGTAACAGGGGGCTACAGTCGATCTAGACTGCATACCACATAAGAGCAGTATACTTTCGTATCCAATGTTATGTTAGAGAGTGGTGCAAATAAGTAGTGATTTTACGGTGAAATCGTTCTATCCTCTCTATGTGGCAGGTATAATAATTAGGATGCCATACAACAGCACAATATTCAAGAATGCTTCTAACAAGGCTGTTAAATAATGTGAAGATTGGTATAAGTAGTATCCTACATATGTTGGGTATTTATTTTAATAAAGCCTAGCATCTGGAAAACTTTACAAATTATTGAATCAAATATCAAAAAGACAGTTCCATATCCAAGATCGCCCTAGATCATTCACTGATGCTTTGCAGCAGAGTATCATCGATTTTGTATCTATTTAGAGAAGAGAAAAATTTTTAATCGGCATAAGACAAGTAGTATGTAGTCCACTGATTACACTAGCCATTTTAGAAAATGTTACTAGAGAAAGTATTTACAAAGGCCGATTCAGGAAATTTTCGAGAAGTGGATATTTTCATGTTTAGGGAATATTTTATTGAAAACATGATCTTTGTTGGCCCCGAGATAAAGGCTGTGAAATTGTAAAAATAAGTTTAATATTATTTTAAAATAAAACTGACTTGATGAAAAATAGTATTTTGCTCGATGTTTGATTAAGTTGTATTTAAGGGCTTTGAAATTAAACAAACAATCTGAACGAGTTTGTCACAGGCAGAAATTGCAGAGAACATAAAAAACGAATACATTTTATTCTTCCACTTTGAGGAGTCGACAAAGTATACAAAATATAAACAAAGATTAAATAATTTTAAAAAATAAATTGGAAATTTAGTTTTTTCCGTTTCAAATAGTTTGTTTACACTTCAAAGTTGGTTTTTATACGCCCACACTAAAAATTTTTTTTAAATAATAATATAATTATTGAAAGATAGGTGAATTTCTGTTCTTTACAAATATACTTTTATATCATCTACTTATGTACTGTAGGTATTTTATTTATTTACTTTTGTTCTAAAAATAATCGTCACAATAGTATGTAGGTACTCCCTTTATTTGATGCAAAGTTGACATTCTTTTCTTAATTTTATGTTCATGTAAAGGCGAATAAATAATTTATTAATAATATTCGGAATAAGTCCATTCTTATGCTACATTTCTTCTTTGCTTCCATAGCTATTTATTTAATTTCTAGTTAATTAAACATTTAATTATATAAATATTTAGCGTCTGATATAATCAATTACATATTTAAATATATAAATAAATAATTAACTTTTTTGATAAATCTATTCATAATCTCTCGACAATTAATTTATTTTAGACTAAACAAAAATTCAAATTGCTTATTTTGTACTTTCTTCCAAATCGAGAATTTTTTCAAATAATAATTATGTACATTTTTTAGACTGGTTTTAGTTTTAAGAAGTTATGGGCCTTTACTGGACCTGGATTTTTAATGTCCATAGCATATTTAGATCCTGGAAATATCGAAAGCGATTTACAGAGTGGAACAGTAGCTGAATACAGGTTTGTCCATCACAATTCACGCAAATTTTCTTTTGTAATAAGTTCCAGTATTTTCGATTTAGCGACGTGGTCCATGATATATTCAGGTTGGGATTATCAGTGCATTGTTAAATGGTTTGGTCACAGCTTGGTTACGTTATCAGTCTCTGGTGGATAAAGTAACTACTAAATAAAAAAGTGTTTATCCTATCTTCAACCACTACCATTTACAAAAAGCCATCAGCTAGTTAAAAGAAAATGCCGGAATTAAAAAGTTGTCATATGTTTACAGAAATATGAACCTGTTTCGGTGAACATTTTCTTAAAAAATTGAAAAATTTAAAGTAATGAAAGGTTTAAAACTTACTTCAGTGGGTCAAAATATATTTTTACGTGAAACAAAAAAAAAAAATAAGATAAAAATGTAGATTCACATATTTAAATATATACAAAGACATATATTTTTAAATAGGCAACAATGGAAGCTTCCTTTTAATCTTGTTTATAAGCCTAATGTTATTTGGACTATAACAATTTTGTCACATTTTGGGCTACGATACGAGTTTTCTAATTTTTAGTAATGAAAAACTGGTATTTCGAGCAAAATAAAAATTTAAAAAAATACGTGTGACACTCGGGGACTGCCGCGGTAAAGCTATTGCATAGCATTTTTTATCAACTTATGCAATTATAATTATTTATTTATTTTATTTATGCAGTATTTTTTTTCTTTGATATTAATTCAAGTTTTTTCTTTGATATTAATTCAAGTTACACTTTTTGAGCGTGGTGACCGATAAGACAACAATTTTTTTTTTATTGAATAAATGAGAAGTTAATATTGTTTAAAATATTTTTATTATCTTACAATACATGTAGGTTATTCAGGAATTTTTATCATTGAAACTATAGGTTTATAGTAACTGAAATAAGAAACATAAGTTTGAGACTTGATATTCTCTAAATATCTGGAAAATACCGCGTCATTGGTGGTCCCATATTTTGTTGTGGATTCTTGTGGATCATTATTCATTTTCAAATTCAATTTTTCCGACATTATGTCTAAAAGAGATAAAATCAGTTATGAACAGTTAGCAGCTAGTCTACACGCATACGTCTAGTCGCAGGCACACAAACACCGTGCCGAAGTCGGCCGAACTGAAACGACGTTAGACGATGCACGGCTTTCAACGCCGCACCGCTGTGCCGGTCGGAGTGGGGGTGTTAGGTTTATTTTCGTCACGGAATTTCTTTTTCGATTTTACGATTTCTTGAGTTTTTGATTTTTTTGATTTTCGATTTTTTCAATTTTTCGATTTTCTTTTATTGAATAAATGAGAAGTTAATATTGTTTAAAATATTTTTATTATCTGACAATACATGTCGGTCGCAGTGGGGGGTGTTAGGTTTATTTTCGTTATCCGCGATAAAAGCTATGCAATAGCTTAAAAATTAAAATTTTAAATAAATATGAGTTTTTCTTAAAAATGTAAGATACCTGCACACAGCCTGAACCTCTTTTAGTTAATTTTCATTTTACCCACTATTTTTGTTTTTCTCTATGGTTATTTTGATTGTTTTTCAAATGGAAAATAAGCAGATGGCTACTATTTTCAACAAATCCTCATCACTTATTTCGCTTTTATTAAATTGAATCATTTTGTTATCACTTTTTATTTAATATCAATCATGTGTCAATAATATTTTAACTTCCAGCTATTTATTTAACAGTCAAATAATTCATCTGTTATAATAGCCGAGACTTTCGCTTATATTTAGGGTTTGACATTAATTTAACCGACATCTAATACTTAACCGTGCACTGATAAATCCACCCTCAACCGAACAATTTTATTATAAAACTAAGAACAGTTTTCCCCACTCTAAAAAGAAAATTAACGATAATAGGTTCTTTCTTTTGTAGTTGGTGCAGTGCCCACCAGTGTAAATTACACCACCTTATTTACCTGATTTACTTCATCCTTATTCCTTATACACATGTCGAGTGTAATTCACTCCTGCTAAATAGCTGGTAGAGAAAATATACACCAGTGGACACCACATCGCCGACAGAAAGGTATAGTGGATTTTACACCGGGCCAAACGAAAGGTTTCGTGTCCGTTGGTGTAGTTCATTTCTACACCAGTGGGACGAACGAAAGAACCTAATAATATTCATGAAGTGTTGGAAAACAGTCGCAAAGTAAATATAGAACACAAGAGAATTCAACAAGACTTGCAATATTTCATAAATATAGTGACAAAATAAATTAGGTTCTTTTGTTCGTCCCACTGGTGTAGAAATGAACTACTCCAACGCACACCATACCTTTCGTTTGGTCCGGTGTAAAATCCACTACACCTTCCTGTCGTCGATGTGGTGTCTACTGGTGGATATTTTCTCTACCAGCTATTTAGTAGGAGTGAATTACACTCGACATGTATATCAGGAATAAGGAGGAAGTAAACTAGGTAAATAAAGGTGGTGTAACTGGTGTAATTTACACTGGTGGACACTACACTAACAGCGAACGAAAGAACATATTGCTTTATGTTTGGTACATATGGTAAAGTTGACGAAACCAAAATGTAAATGCCAAACTGGTGTGATTTAGACTTTGTATCAATAGATTCTTTCGTTCGCTGTTGGTGCAGTGTCCACCGGTGTAAATTACACCACTTTATTTATCCTAATTTAATTCCTCCTTATTCCTTCTACACATGTCGAGTGTAATTCACTTCTGCTAAATAGTTGGTGGAGAAAATATCCACCAGTGGACACCACATCGCTGACAGGAAGGTGTAGTGGATTTTACACCGGACCAAACGAAAGGTTTAGTGTCCGTTGGCCTAGTTCATTCCTACACCAGTGGGACGAACGAAAGAACCTATAGTCGTTCGTCGCATTCAAATTTGACAGCTCTTTGAAATTATTGTCGAATACATTTTTAAAAATGCCGCAGCCCTTTTGAGGCTCAAAAGTCGAAGGCTATAACAAAATTGGAAGAAAATTGGACTTTAGTGTAGTGGCTGCTGAATTAATGGTCACTAAAAGTTGCTGCTTTTACGTTATGAAATAAGAACAAAGATTGAGAAAACCTTTCAGACAAGTTGTTAATGAAAATGAAGATAATGCTCTCGTAGAATGTATTCATCAAAAATTCAAGATTAATTGAGACGTTTTAAACTAAAAAAAAAACCGGTTCTAATTTTGTGACCATTTTTTTTTTGTTCCTCTCATATTTATTATTTTAAATTTTTATGCAATGCTCGATTACGTGTTTTTAGGTTGCTATGGGTGCTTTTAAGCGCCACCCTTTTAGGCCTTCTTATGCAAAGGTTGTCCGCAAGGTTAGGTGTAGTGACAGGACTTCACTTGGCAGAAATGTGTTATAGACAGTACAGAAAATTACCCCGACTGTTGCTGTGGATAATGATCGAAATCGCTATTATTGGCAGCGATATGCAAGAAGTCATAGGGACCGCCGTAGCCATATACCTTTTATCAAATAGAGTGTAAGTATTGAATAATTCGCTATTTTTAAGGCCTTTTATTTTGTTATTTATTGTACTAACCCCATTGGTAATAATAATCTAGAGTAGGTATTATGTCAGTGGTGTCGTTGAGTTGACATTGGTTTTTCTTATGAAGATTAGAGATAAGGAGGGGAATCGGCATACTCAAAATACGGTCCCACAAAACGCATGCTAATTGGACGTAGTTATGCAGAAATGATCCAATCCACCCAAACTATATTTTGAGAAAAATGATGTTAAAGTTAAAGTCTCTATGCGATAACAATAGAATATATAGCGAGTTTTTATAATTTTTACTATTAATATCCTTCTAAATTGTTGGATCGTTTCAGCAGAATATAATTTTGGATTGTAACATATTGAAATGCTACTCAAGTCATTTCTGGTAGATTTGTGGATTGGATCATTTCTGCATAACTACGTCCAATTGAGCTTCTATAATTAACCGTATGGGCGCTGGTACTGCATACGGTGTTCAAAATACATGACGTGTGTCTTTTTTTCCACCGGTTTGTTGCAACCGTTGTTTCACCGATGCGGCCTTGAACGTTTTGTGTTGGATTCTGGTTGACCGTTGAAATAAATAACAGTTGACATACCGCACCGATGCCAACGTTGCTGCAACAGTTGGATAAAAAGACACACGTATGGCTTCTTATGGGAATTATACATAATTTTGTCAAAATAATAAAAATAAATAAATAGCTAAATAAAGCACAGAACATACTATTGTATTTTTTTTTTGTGTGTGTCATCGGCTTCAACTGCTAAGGTTATTTCGCCTCTGTGTAGGCTTTGTTACTGTTTCCCAGCGCCACTTTAGGAACAGCACTGTTAATTATTTCTAAGTCTTGCATGTTTTAATTGATAAATTATTTAATTTTATCTACATAAAATACAAATTTGAAAAGATTTCTTAAGGTAGTTTACTCGTAAAATGGCTTTTCTGAAGAATTCAATAAAATTTAAATATAAGGTTTATGAAAGTGTCGTTTACGTAACTAAAAAAAATTAGATTTTTTGACCGTCTGTGAAACGAGATATTAACAATCAAAATGTGCATAATTAACACTCTTTGAAGCCTATCATGTACACAAGCAATGCATTTATTTCAAGATATCTCGAAAACGGTTCTTACCATATTTTTTAAAAACTAATGTTAAATAAATCAAGAAGTTATAAAATATTATAAATAATCGCTAAATTTTTTGACCGTCTTAGTAAAAAGATATAGATTTTTAAAGCAGTTGAAGAGTAGTTTCGTAAAATTATTACAACTTGGCAACATTGTAGCCACTTCACGTAACAAAGTAACACTCGATCAGCTAAGAGGTCGTTATAAACTCGCGACGTGTTCTTGAAAAATTAATTCGTCCACTGTGTTTGAGAACTGGAATCAGCGGTTCTGTTTGAACCAAAAAAAACCCTTAAAATTAGTATGAGGAAGTCACAAATTTCTCTGCCATATCGTTTAAATATTTGCGAGATTGCCGGATGAATTTGATAAAAATTATAACATGTCCATATGCGTTTATATACATGTGTTTTGTACAGTCTCTTACAAAAATAAAATTGATTAGCATTGAGAATCTCGAACTTTTGGTATTCACCATTACGCGATATTTTTATGTACGACTGTCGCGAGTGAACTACCTACCTTAAATGCTGAAATTTGATAAGTACGATTTTGTGGCAAAACTTTTTTTTAATAGAACCAATATATAGTTTTAAGAGTAAAATAAAACACAGTAACAGCTTTTTTATTGTTGTAATACAAGTATAAAGGGAGATTTGGGAATGTACATGGTGTTACCTCCTCCTTTAATTTCAGCTTTCCCCTTTTTATTTTGCTAACAGTACCATCAGTAAAAATGGTCTCATAATATTTGATATCTTCTAAAAAGTATAGAACAGCATCATCTCTAGAAAGTGCTTTATCGGCACTAGGAACGATATATATGCAGCCACTGTTCTAAACGTTTAGTATCCTATAAAAAACATTTACACAATTGGGGTCAAAAAAAAAAAAACAGTAGCAACTCTTTATCTAACATTAAAACTCTATAAAAAAAATAAATTTTCTTTTCTAGTAAGTTAAATTTAATGCATAATTATTGTTGTTTGTAAGTCAGCATCTATGTCTGTAAAATTTTATATTATAAAAACTTGTAATAAAATAAACTACACTTCGTAAGATACATATTGTGACTAGTTTACAATAAATATTATATTTAGACATGAATACATTATTTTACTTACATTAGAAGCTTTAAAAAGACATTGAATTGATTTCTTCTTGTGTTTTCTCTAGTTTTACATTTGATTTTTATTCTGTTTTATAATCGGGAACGACGTAAATCTTGCTTTGATGTTTTTTGTCACTCATGTTACTTGTACTCAGGTACTTTTTTCACATTATTTTGATTCTTTTCACCAATTTTTTTAAAAAATCCCTTCATTTTACATTGACTTACATAGAAAATTGACACCACTGTCATTCGACATGCCAATTACAGTCAATTTCGCGAACTTTATAAAAAGAAGGACGGAAATTTGACCATTGCCGATTCGCCTCCTTCTCTTTAGGCTTCATAGTTTTTCTTATTTCAAATGTCAAAAAATAAGTGTGAACGGTATATCTACCCTTCTCATTAATGTTATATACAACAAAAACGAATTTAAATTTACAGGAAAAAGTGATTTTGTATTGTATACTTTTAGGATACCAATTTGGGGAGGCGTTCTCATAACAATAATAGACACTTTTACGTTTTTATTTCTCGATAAGTATGGTTTAAGAAAGTTGGAAACGTTTTTCGGGCTTCTGATTACCATTATGGGTCTTACTTTCGGTTTTGAGTATGTTACTTCGAAGCCGGATGCTCTGGGTGTGGTAGAAGGTATGTTTACGCCATGGTGCGCTGGTTGCGATAACAGAGCGCTTTTGCAAGGCGTTGGAATCATCGGTGAGCAAAATATTGTTTATTCATCCTAAAAAGGTCTACAGAAATTTGGTGCCAAAAGAAGAGTTATTATAATTAAAAATGAAATTAATATCTTCTTTTGTACCCAAATATCACGTTTATAGTTGATATTTAGTGAAGATTCTCTACTATTAACATTTTAGGAGCTGTAATAATGCCTCACAATCTTTATCTTCATTCTGCGTTAGTAAAATCCAGAGATATCGATAGAACAAAACCCGAAAAGGTCAGGGATGCCAACATGTACTATTTTGTAGAAGCTTGTATTGCGTTACTAGTTAGTTTTGTCATTAATGTTTTTGTGGTATCAGTTTTTGCCCATGGGTTGTATCAAACTACCAATTCCGAAGTTGTAAGTATTCCAAACGAGTTGTGTCTAAAAAGTAATGAGATTGGAAGTGTACCTTAAAAACTAGAAAATAAAAAGAAAATTACTTTAAAATGTGTTGCGAGAAAAAAATTTAAATGAATCGAAATCGTAATGGGTAAGAAAATATAGACGTACCATCGAGATAGAATGTAGTAAGGATGATATAAACACTATGCGATATGGCAGATAAATGCTCTTAGCGGTGAGTACAGGGAAGGGGGTGAACAACATGTAGTATGTCCTGGTGTTGGGAGCAGTCGTGTGACCTGTGAAATTCAAAGTAAAGTTGCTTATCGATGCATTTTTTCCTTTTTTGTTGGCAATGAAATATGTGTTTTTAGACGTCAATAACAATAAACAATTCTCTTTGCAAGTATTTTCTGCAAAGTCTTCCGGTTTTGCTACTTCCGGTGTATGGATTTCCGCCACATGACCGAATGTTTACCTTTTTCAACGACATTCGGGTTATAGCTTAAACGCGTTTATTTCTGAATCTAAGATGATATTGCCCTTTTTTTAAGTCTTCGAAAGGGTTGACATCAAAAAAATAAATATATATAATTTGACGAAAAGTGACCTGTTTTTTGAAATAGGTGTAAAATCGGAACCAAAAGCCGAAAATGGTTTATCCTCAAAATGTTAATTTGACTCTCAAATAAGAGTATTTCTCGCAAACATTTTTTAATCAGTAGTTCCACCCCATTTAACCTTTTTTTATGTTTTGTTCCCGATCAAATAAATTGCGGCGACTATTATAACTTTTTTTTTACGAAAACCGGGTTGAATAAAATACTAAATGGAGTAAAACTACTGAATAAAAATACTTGCATATTTGCAATACCTTATTTGAGATTCATTCAAACATTTTGAAAGCCATTAAACCACTTTTCTACTTTTGGTTCCTATTTTACATCTATTTCAAAAACAGGTCAAAAGGTAAATATCCTGTCACATGGCCGAAATTCCTACAACGGAAGTAGCAGAACCGGACGACATAAAATACTTGCAAATTGATTTTTTTATTGTAATTGACGTCTAGAAGCATATATTTAATTGCCAGCAAAAAATAAAGTCCATCGATAAACATTTTTACTTTGAATTTCACATGACCGCTTTCACCGCCGGAACATATTACATGTTGCAAAAAATACGACGTGCCACGTTTTGCAGTCAGATGAGAAACTTATAACCACTGTACTTCCAAAACAAAAGTCTTAGATATTTATTGTCATTTAATTAATAAATACTATTCATTTATAGTTTTTTTTTAACAAAACTTTTAAATCTTCAATACTTTTTAGACAGTCAATAAATTGTGAGAAACTCTAGGTTTTTATAAATTACTTTTGTTTTTAGCATGATTTGTGCGTTCAACATCCAACGCTGAATGCTTCTATATTTCCGGTAAGGGACGTTTATATTAATTTTTACATGGTTTATTTAGAAAAAGGGTCTGTTTTAATATGTTTAATAAATATTTTGATAACTGTTGACTATCCGATTGAATGTTCAACATATAGTTGCAAAACACATGTCGAAAATAGTTTGAAGATTGGGTGAACTGATTTTTGTAAGTAAAGAGATATTTGAACATTTTTTATGTACATTTCTATATTAAATTTCTATTAGATATAATAAAAACAAGCCTTACTGAAGATCGTACAATACTTTATAGCATACGGATAGATCTAAAAAAAAAGGGAAGGAACAAGCTCTGGCGTACTTGGAGTTAATCCAAATGCGACATCACTGTCTTATTAGAAATTATAATATACAATTGACTTATTTGTAAAAGAGAACCTAAGAAGGACGTACAAAAAGTAAATCATGTTAATTCTCTCAGACAGCAAAGCAGATTTAAAGGTGCTTGGATCAAACATATTCGAGTCAAAGCTGATCTGGAACTGTCTTGGATTACTTAATGATCTGGCAACCCACATTAAAGTAATTTTAGCATCAGTACCAGTGCATAAAGGTATCAAAGGAAATGAGAAGTGTGGACCTGTATTTGGGATAAGCAAACTCTCTGCTCGACAGGCAGTGAACAGGTGGATAACCACTAAACACCAAACTCACTGGCAATAGATAAGAAGTCACAGAATAAGTAAGCTACGGAAACCAAATCTGAGCATTGCTCCTAAGGTACTACAACTCGCAAGTCCCCAGATATCCATCATTGTGGAATTACTAACGGGACACTGCTTGCTGAGACACCTTTATGTGTAATACCGTCATTACACAATGATCACACGACGTGTAAACTACATGGAAGAAAGAAATCTCATAACACGAAAGCAAAGCTCTAGCTAGGCGACGACACACTCTTTTCGGCCTAGAACTAGAAAAAGTGCTACAGGAAATTTTGGTAGGAAGCCAAGTAAAACTAACCAAAGACAGAACTATGCAAACAGTGTCTGGATGCGGAGCAAGCAGGAAAATACAATATACTCAAGAGGCCGCAATGTTCTAGGTTATATTCAATGACGAAAAACTACTAGACTAATCCATTCTTTCTTAATTAAACCCTTTTTTTTTGCAATCATTCAGATTGTGTTTACTATTACGCAGACAGCGCTGTCGCATTAGAAAGAAGGAGACAGCTGCTAATTTGAGTGGGGATGGTTTGTGCGAGTATGTTAATCTGAGGAGCGAGCATGCGTTTTATTAATGATTCAGTATTTATTTCTGCTACGCTTGCTTTACACTGCTATCACAATTCAAAATTAATTGCGTACTTTCCTGAAAAACACTATGCAACTATAATAGCTGCAACAAGAAAAATGCATTAAACTGATAACTAGAATTAAGAATGCACATATACTTCCCTAATGTAATTTTGAAAGTCGTTTGTGCGCTTTAGAGCCTTATGTTTAGTCAATACTGAATTATAACCATAAACAATCCTTGTAACAATACTCTTCCATACCCTCTCATAATAATTTGACAACTTCTTGGACAACACCATGAGTCTGCAGTTCGATTTTTGTAAATAAAATTAGTTTAGTAGCTGTTCGTCGTTGGCTATATTTAACCTTACCTGATTATAACCGACAAAGATAAGACCGTACATAAAAAATTCATCTGCAAATAGGACATCTGATACCAGGATCCACATTTAACAAAAACATAGAAATTATGAAAAAATCAAAGTACATTTACCTAATTAGTACCAAAAAGAAATAGCAACAAAGAAAGAGAAAACACACGGGCATGAACGTCTGCCGCGTAATGCGGTCCCGTTTTTGAAACAGACAGTGTTAACATTTTTTCAAAAACGCCTTCAATATCGTCATCAATTACCAGATTATTTTTTGCATAATAGTTTAGTCATTCGTATGGTAAAAAGAAAACTTCAGCAGACGGGTCACATTTTAAGATTAGAATCCTTCCGTTATTTTCTGCTCAAGGATGTGCGCGTTTGACAGTTTTCCTCAAACTTTCGTATATATTATTTACAGCAGTAATAGAATATTTTTAATTTTATGTCCTTTTCATTTTCTTTTGAACTTTCACCTTGTTTTCTGAAGCAAAATTTAGTATCTTCTGCTTTAAAATAGGCCTTTTAAACCTATTCGTATGGTCCTTATATTCAGCAATAAATGTTTCTCTTAAGTTTTGTCCCATGGTTACAATATTTAAAAGAAAATTATTTTTATTTAATTTACCGCTTTCCCAATAGCTAAATTAATGATCAGATTTTGTGTAAAATTTTAGAGGATTTTTTTTTAACTAAAGATCGGCAGACGAGGATTTTTTTATTTGTTGTTTTTATAGCTTTACACTACCACTGTCAAACCTTTGGTAATTATGAGGCAGTTTATTTTTCTCCCAACTCTAGGACTATAAACTGTAGGCTGAAGAACCACCTCGGTCAACGGCCTTTTGTAACTCTTTGTTGTTATTGTTACATAGAGCAATATCCTGTTTTGATATTTGCTTATTTGTTTTAGAATAATTCCGACTACGTTGATGCTGACTTATACAAGGGAGGAATTTATTTGGGTTGTAGATACGGCGTTTTAGCTATGTACATATGGGCTATCGGCATTTTGGCGGCGGGACAAAGTTCAACGATGACAGGTATTTGTACATTATTGTTTTTTTTTTTAAATCTTTTATGTTTAACCGAAATATAGTGGTCAAAATTAAACTTTTGTGTTGATATGCCAAAAAATTTCAAAGAAAATATATTTCGCGGATGAGATCATATTTGAACCCTATGGAAAATAAAAAAAAAATAAAGGGAAAAAGTTTTGATTTTCTTTTTACTCATTTTAGGTACATATGCGGGTCAATTTACAATGGAGGGATTTCTAAATCTCCAGTGGGCCAGATGGAAGAGAGTACTTTTCACTCGTACCTTCGCAATTGTGCCCACGTTTTGCTTGGCCTTTTTTAGTAATTTGGAAGATCTGACAAACATGAACGACATACTGAACGCCATCATGAGTCTGCAATTGCCGTTTGCCACAATTCCCACCATCGCTTTTACGAGCAATCCGCAGATTATGGGCGAGTTTGTTAATGGAGTGTAAGTGCATTTCATATTTCCGTTTTTCTCCAGTCAAATTAATATTTTTATGACGAAAACAAATCTCAATTTGGAAATATTTGAGTTTAACATTTAGGAATATTAACATTGTATTTTTTAATTTATATACTTGAGCTCTTAAAGTTTGTTTTAAATAAGGATTAGCATATACTTTGACTTAACATATGTACATTTAGATGGTGTATTTACAACGAAGAATCTATTAACATTTTTTTTCACTATGAAGTTACCTCACTCCAGTGCCTTCAAAATTTATGCGATTTTTGCTTAATCCTCATTAATTCTTTCTAAAATAAATTTTTTAAATATAGTTTGATGTTTTGCTATACAGGTTGATTCATAACTATTGGAACATAGGCTAAGGGCAGGTTATTTGGATAGGCGATAGGACCAAATATACCTTAATAAAATATTACTGTGGAATAAGATTAAAGTTGATTTTTTTCTGATAATGTCACTGTATATTCATGAATTGTTATCAAAATCGGCACAAAAGCATATCTTTGAACAAGAAATATTATTTTGTATTATTTCACATTTTGTTACAGGGGGCGCCTCGTAAATGATTCCTGATGATGAAATTAAGTGGTAGCTTTTTTGATGAAACTTTTTTAGTATTTTTGATTAGAAAATATGATGTATACATAATTTCTACGTAATATTGGTACTTTTTATCGCCATATTTTGGTCTAAATAACCTGCCCTTAGACTATGTCCCAATAGTTATGAATCACCCTGTATAATACCATCCATTTCATTTAATGCTATAAAGATCTAGTAGCCAAGCTAGTCATGTTTTGATAATGTAAATTATTGCAGTCATATTTTATTAGTTCGTGATTATAATTAATTGAATAAAACTTTTGGTATCGGGACTATTGTTGCCAATCGCTGTATTATACATTTCTGGTAAGATCAAACCTTCGGTCATACTTGGCTTATGTTAGAGTGAATAGTAAATAGCTTTCGTATATGCAGGAGAGGAAAGGATGTAATATCGACGTTTTAGGTTTCACTGGGGTTAAAGGTCCGTGACACGATCGGTGATTGGTAACGTTGATACTGTATCGTTTTTTTTTCTTCTGCACTCTAAAACAAATCAGAACCGAAGGTTTGATCTTGCGAGAACTGTAAATAATTATTTGATGATTTTTTTTTCAGTGGAAACAAAATTGCCTCTATTCTACTCAGTATTATAGTCATAGCGATCAACACGTATTTCGTAATAAACACTGTAAATTCTCTCGACTTCCATTGGTTCCCATTATTGTTAGTGGTAATAATAGGCATTCTTTATCTCCTGTTCTGTTTATATCTGGTGATCCACATGGCGATATCAATGGGCAATACCAACCTTTTAAGGTATAACGCCGTTAATAAGTATATAATTGGCCCTGTGGATGCGACGTTGGACATCAGCCCAATCAGTTATTCCAGGTAAGAATAAAACTTTCAACTATTAAATTATTTAAGGAGCATGCCGCTTATGCTACTGTCAAATAAGATAGTTTTTAGATATTTTGATGCTAGTTGCACACACAAACTTTGCTGTTAGTTTTAATAGTAAAATGAAAAATACATGTTTTTGTTTTTGACTGCAAAATCGGTTTCTATTTTGAAAATATCTAGGTACAGGCATCTGAGTACTTTTGTTAAAACACTATTGTTTAATTGTTGCTTTAAAATGTAAGAAATTTCCCAATGCAAAAATTGGGAAAACTAATATATTTAAATTAATTATTGAAAGAAATAACTTAAATAATGCCGGCAACATATTTTTTTCTGACAAATATCAGTTAATATTACTTAGATGATTTATGAGTGTAGTTTTAATATTGTGTCCTGACGATTACCACAAAACACTCACTGATGAAGACTAATAAATTTAATGTAGGTGTGCATATCGTCGCCCTTATCACGAAGTGTCATAAGATTTAGAGTTTGCGCTTTCAAAATTTTATCATGGAATGCTAAGGCCTTGTTTTATTATTTGGTAATTCCAGATTAGCCAAACTCTCTCGGGATTTAAAAAAAAATTAAAATAGTTATGCCACTTCGTGACAAACAATTTTCTCACTTTACCAGATAGACCTTAATTAAATATATTTTATTACTTTAGTTGTCATTGTTTTTAATGCAATATTATGTACGTTTTATCTGCCTGTGATTATATTTAGTACAGATTTAGGAAATGACAAACAAAAAATATGTTTAATGTTTTTATTAAGAAAAATAAACATAACCGAAAACTAATGATTAAAAATAGTTGGAATTGCGTTTATAACTGTCATTCTACATGAGGTAATTCCTGATAATATTTCTGCAATTCAGAAGATTAGGTCGGAATAGTTCTTGCTTGTTAGTTTTTACTGGTTCTGTGTTGAGAGATTCTAATTTAATATCACAAATCTTTTCTGTCAGTTTTTTTATTTCAATACTGTCATATTCTTTATGGTTATGACTTCGTTTGAAAAATAAATTAGAAGGCATGTCTCTTCGGACCATAAATTCCATAATTTCAGTCCACTTTAAATTTTCTCCTGATGCACTTTCTCTAATTGATAGAATTCTTATAGATTTTAATAGTTTTTTAAAAACTAAAAAATCTGAGTACTTCGTTGAAATGTGGACCTAAGGTTGTTTTCTTCTGGCCAATCGAAAAATTGGGTACCGTTGTGAGGATTTAAAAAGATCCCCAGCACCTATTTTGGCAATATTTATTGTACTATGAGCAAAGTGAGGGGCACTCGAAAAACCTTAGTGATATTTTTTCACAAATATCAAGATTTTTTTTCTGGCCATAGCAGCCGTCCGAGTAGAAAGAAAGGGTAGTAATTTGGTATTTATTCCTAAAATATTCCAAAGATTTATAAATACATGAAGAGATTTCAGAAGAACCTCTGTTACTCAAAGTTTCATTCAAAATTGTAAAAAGTAAAGTTAAATGTTGCTAATCTTGTTTTGTAGTAAATATCATTCTCTTTGCTTTTTGGAAAGTATATAACTTGTAAATCAAAAACTCCACAGATAAATGATTTGTTTTCTATTGTTCTTTTTTTGTCTACAGCTCTTAACTCTCGTACTTTTTGCTTCTCTGCAATATGCCGTGTGTACTTGTCTTTTAAATTTTCTTTTACAGTGAGATCTTGAAAGTAAGTTATATAGAGGGAATATTGATTCTTTTTAGATTGTAGGAAGATCAATTTTGCTATTTAAATATTTTTCGGTACGTACTATAACTCGGTTTGTTAATAAAATTGTTTTTTTCAAGATGCTCCAAAAACATATTGTGCATCTTGGGCAAGGATAAGTCAGGATGTAAGTACGTTCTTGAAGTTGTCGATGTAGAGTTATACGATTCTACACAAAATAAACATAGCATCTGTTCAGTTAGGTTGCAGTTTATCCTGTGGATCACGTATCATTTTACTTCATTAAGATATCTGAAGTCTCTTAGAACAGTTCGTGAGGAAAATATTCTGCGTTATTGCAGATGGGACACAGAATATGCTGTATTGCATGCACTATTAAGTTAGTAGATGTGCCACTTTGTGAGATGATAAAATAGGTCAAGACTAGTTAATCCGCACAAAAATACATTTTTTTAATTTTTGTTGGTTAGGACACTTCGTGATAAGGTCGACGATATATGACTGTACAGCAGGGCATTAATCTGATATGTAGGCGTTTTTTGAATCTAAATATAATTTTTTAAACATTTAATGGCTATAATATAATAAATAGTTACATTATTACCATAATTCAGTTAAGTCAATAATTTTTGTAGAAAATACGTCGTTTCTATTGGTTAGACTATTCAAAGCTGTCGTTAATCAGACAAGGTTATCACGTATTAAACTAGAAACTTAAAGTTTAAAAAACGCGATTAAAATAATTTTTCAAGAAATCGGGTGTGAATAAAAAAAACTATAAATAAAATAAATATGTAAATAATAATTTATGAAACAAAAAAAAGTGAGAATTTCCCATTTAAATTTTCTGATTTACTGGTAGACTTTGTGCATTTCATTTATATAGAACAAATGGGGCTGCTGGTTATAATTTTATTATATTTCAGTTGTTCACTTTGCGTCATATAAAAGTGGTACAAATCTTATAATAAAAAATCTTGCTTTTCAAGCTGTGTAAATTGATCTTTTAAAATGTGTCAAAGTTACGCGCAATGGAAAAATTAAAAATTTAATGCAATCTAAAATGAATAAGGTTGAAATTAAAATATATTTGACAATTCGAAACAGATGAAATAAATAATTAATATACAGCTCCATTATTAATAATTTCTTGTAATCTTCTAAGCACTGAGTTAATTAAATTTATTGTTAACTTTTCATCTACTGCCAAGCTTACCGATTCATTTAAAACATAATAAAATTTAGGGTAAAGATAACTCTAATTAGCGTATTTACTTTGCTAATATGTATTTTCGGGGCGGCTCGGCTGCACAATTCTTTAAATCAGTTTTTCTAATTATTCTTAACACTTTTGTTACTGAAGCATTAAAGTTTGTTTCAACTTTTGCCTATCTTGCTGTAAATAATTAGTTAATGTTTCATCTTGTGCTATAGTTATAACTGGCCTTCCAGTCTCTTTCTGTTTACAATTTGATTGTTGTCCCATTTTTGCAAAGCTGTTAATCGTGGTTTTCGAATTTTAACAAACTTACTCAAATGATCTGACATCGTAACAATGCGCTTTCACAAACTTGACAAATCTTACTGTTTGTCATTTTCAAAAGTAAAGTTGGTTTTACATTGGAAAAAATGAGTGTATCACTTTTATATGACACGAAGTGTACCCTGAATAGAAATAGATTGTCAGAAAAAACTATGTTGACCTCACTTTCCTTACTGTTAACTCTTTTTTTTATGAACTGCTCGAATATGTAATAAATTGACAGTGAAAATGAAATTTGCTATTGGTAATTATAATCCCATCCTTTTCTATCAGTCAAGACGTTTAAAAAGTTTTCATATTAATAACATATAGTTTATTTTTTTCTTCAGGCAGAACTCTGGTGCATGAAAACAACATTTAGGGGCTTTACAGTGTTGTTAGGTGTATGTATATAAAATTAAGCTTAAAGTGTGGAATGTCTTATTTTTCGCAAAGTGAGAAAAACAAAATTGTTTTTGTTTGTTTAAATTGTGCCACCTGCTTAGCTAATTAATCGAGTTATTTGTTATGTTTTGTATTAGTCTAATGACATTACAGCCTGTTTCACAAAATTGCTTGAAAGAACTGTCCTTTTTTTTTGTGACAACTGCATAACTATCAGATCGTTTGTTTCAACAAAAAGATTAAGAATAATATTAAGATTTCTAATTTAATTTTGCAAACTAATTTAAATTTAAAGAAAATGGTTTGGTGAAACGAATCAATTTCGATGGCTCAATCAAATACTGCCACAACTCAAAAACTATTGTTTCGAGAAATGTCATTTTGAAATTTGTAAGTCTCTATTATCATTATTTTGTTTTTGACATAAAATCTTTTTATTTTATTTAAAATCTTTGATATTTTGCTGTTTAAATTAACGATTACGATTATAAAAGCGGGTTAATGCATAGTTTTTATAAAATTTGGGTGTTTTTGCAGAAAATAACTCGAATTGAGGTAGTTTCAGACACAGTCTGTGACTAGATTTTAAATGATTTTTGGGCATATTTAAGGATATTTTTATTTGTGGCGGTATTTAAAGTAAAACCTTAATGATATTTTGCATCCATTGGACCAAAAATGTAATTTTTTTTGTTTTTTGACTTGTGGCGGTTTTTGATTGAGCCATCGATTTGTTGGTTGAATTCTTTGAGGTACACACCCATTTCATATTTTTGTTTTTATTAATGTGTATTTAATGTTTGTGGCTGTCAAACAAATATTTGATTCAATACATTTTCTTTACAATAAAAATGTTGACAGCACTGGCAGCAAGCTTTAACCAATCTTGAAAGACATGGTACAGTATACAAAGACGAACTATTTTTTTGCGTGGGATTCTGAATTGCAAGCAATAGATCTGTAGTAAATAGGCTGCAATGTATGACAGCTTTAAGAAAATCGTTCAGCCTCACCATTTTTCAGTTCCTTTTTATTGTTTTCGTAAATTATGGCAATATAGTCGTCTTGGTGGCGCAGTTGTGACGACGGCCGCTATTCACTTACAGACCTTTTAGTGATTGAGCGACACTCGGCTTCAGGTCCTAGACTAAACCATGTGAATTTTTAATTAATTTGCATTTGTTATAGGATTTGATGGGTACCGTATTACCAGTACCTAATTTAATTCTTTGTTTCTGTTGATATGACATTATAAATCGACGTGCGTTACCGTTTCGATGACGGTAGGTGCGGAGTTTTCCTCACCTGTAAGTCAAAAATCGCCATCAATCATCTGTAAGTCGCCCCAGAGCGACACAGCAAAATAATAATAATGGCCGGCCCTTCCCAGGACAAACTCATTCTGATTTTGGGGTTAAAATTCACTTGTAAGGGGGTGAATTATAGGGAGAGTATTATTATTATTATTTTATATTAAAATCAGATAACAAAATTAATTGCAAATTCTATATAAATTATTCTCACTGTGCGAAATGTCTTTTTATGGTTGTTTAGCCTATAGCTTCTGGTGGTTGGTTCTTTACTAACATACTAAATTTCTTTTTTCATTTCTAACAGAGTGCCCGGCGGTAACATTTTGGTTCGGTAGCGGTTTTTTGGATTTTTTTCTAAAAAATATTTAATTTATTCTGACAGATCTCAGTCGGAATGGACGGTAGCCAATGAATCTGTTACTCAGGATGCGAAGTTTTGATGTTAGTGTCAATTTTATAATATTCTACACTTGTAGTTTTCTCATTTAGCTGTGTTGTTTGTTTTAAATATTTTATTTGTGTTGATAGGTACCAATTATTTTGTACATGTCTATTATTTGTATTTTTGTAAGTAAACATTAAATTTTACTTTATATAGGTAAATCTCGAACTCCGACATCGATATTAATTTAATGCGTTTAGGTTAAAGTTAATCAATAATTTTTCTTTGTTAAGCTTTGGATTAAAATTCATAATCTCACCCTACCTTGTTTTATCAGAAACATTTTCCAATGTGGTTATTAAAACAATCCAGAAATTACAGTTAGAAAGAGTTTGAGTAGATCATTCAATTGTAGGTTTTTCATCCAAGGAATTCCAAAGGAAAATTAGTTGTTTTTAAAACATAGTGCGTCACAAATAATAAAATTACCAAAAATAACCAAAGAACGAAAAAATATTCAAAATAAATTTTATGTGATTTTAAATACGTTAAAAATAATTTCTTAAAAATAAAAGTATGTAAATTAAAATTATTTTATATTTACAAATAATGTGTAGGTACGTTTAAAACTACTTTTTAGTCGTGTACATAACTGAATAACGATATATTATTCTTGTTATTAAAGGTATTTATTTATATAACAATGTGTGAATCATTAATTTGTAAATGTAACTGAACAAATGTTTTTTAATAAAACCTGTTAAGTGATGTACTCTATAAAAAAAGATTACAATAACTGTTGGAGTTTGATTATTCCCAAACCGACCCAGGTCGTCGTATCCTGTGTCCCAACTCCGAACCATATAATATGGAAAAGAAGAAATATGCACTGCCCTTTGAACACGTTCTAACGCTTAAGTCATTCATAAATTTCCATTATTTTTATTCCAGTGGTTTCTATACTAAAATCCGAAACATATCGGTTAGTTTAAAAATTGTCTTTTAACTTTAACAAATTAAATACAAACACAATGTTTTCCAAAACATAATTTAAATGACAAGCACATGGGAAGAATATTATTTATTGAGTACAAAAAGACAATAAAGGTGAAGTTTAACAATTGGATACATTCTCATAACTCAGGTTCATAAAGTCGAAACGCCCTCCAGATTTATATATGAGCAAAAGGCTATTGACGATATCCTTCTGTGGGAAATTTTGAAAAGGTGTTTGTAAGTAGGCATGTTTCAGTATTGCCAACAGTAGCGGATTTTCAGTCCTTGTAGCAAAGTAGCGGTGAAAAGGCCTTGTTTTTACCAAAATATTTGCGTTTACCAATATGTGATTGTTTAATTATTTTATAATTGAGATTCTTTAAACAAATGAATGTATCCCATTTTTTAAATTCAGTTTGCACTAAACGAAACACCAAGACACTCTCCTCATAATGATAATATATATCTCTGTACCTTAGAGAGAAATAATATTAAAGTTGGAAGTACGACTTTTTTACCTCTTTGAAAAATTAAAATACTATTTTTTTTAAACTAGTACTTATAAAGAAGCTATTTTCTACCACTAAAAAATATAAACTTTAGGTATTTTAGTGAATACATTATCTCCACTTAATACACAAAAGTTACTTTATGTCAAAATATTACTTTCTTAAAGGGCATATTGGTACCCAAATTTGAAAAAAAAAAATATTTTAAAAAGAACTGTTGTTTTTAAGAAATTGATATCAGTATTTTAGAAATCAGTTGTATTAGACAACTATTTGCCAACATTCTGATTTTCCCTTAATTTAATAAATCTTAAATTCGTCCACTGCATTGTCCAATTTCCACTTCATGCTAAGGTTTCTGTTCATTCTTTTTAAACAGTACTCCACCCTCGCCTCAATAGGACAATGGGCCCGTTCACTTTCATTTTTGAATGTGAATTAATTATATATTTATAAAGATATTAAACTCTTTTGTCTGGTGGTACTTTTCCCGTTAAGATATTTTTGCTAGAAGTAAGGGAATTCCCATAAAATTCTTTCAGTGACTCATTGCGTCAGAAAATCCCTAATTCCGTTCACGTCTCGTATCGGTTATGCTTAAAGACGGCGGGGTTGTCGGAAGTATCCCTAATATAGCATTTCTGCATTTATATATGTAATTTAAATAGTAAAATTCCATAATTTTTCTAAAAATCATGAACTTATATTTTCAGATTTAAAGCTGGGAGCTTATTTTTTACTTTTTAATTAAAACAATTATTATTACTCAGGCTGAAAATTAACCAGACCATAATCAAAAAGTAGAAATTTGATTTGCAATATTTATCTGGTAAACGTGGCAACGTTGCATTTATTTCTAGAAGTGTGTGTAGACAACACTATTTAGAAGTACTTACAACGTTGTCACGTTTACCAGATACATTTTCTCAAATAAAATTTCGATCTGGTAATATTCAGCTTGAGTAATACTAATTGTTTTTATTAAAATTTAAAAAAGGTAGGGCTTCCAGCTTTATCTGAAAATATGAACACATTATTTTTAAAAAATAATATATTTTTATCATGTAAATTTCTTTAATAAATGCAGAAGAGGAATGGTGGTGCAATAATACATCCGACAACCGCGCCCTTTTAACTATTAACCGATACGAGACCTGAAGGGAATTAGGGGTTTTCTGACGCAATGAGTCACTGAAAGAATTTTATGGGAATTCCCTTACTTCTAGCAAAAATATCTTAACGGGAAAAGTACCACCAGACAAAAGATTTTAATATCTTTATAAATATATAAATAATTTACATTCAAAAATAAAAGTGAATGGGCCCATTGAAAAATCGAATTCAAATATAATTCAATTGATTCAAGATTTAAAAAACGATTCATTACAGTACAACATAATTCAACAGAGTATCGAAAACTATATCTCAGGAAAAAAGATACATTGATGTAGACAGACGATTTTTCAGAACTACCATATTTAGAATAGAACTGAACTTAATAATTAATAATAAGGTATATTTTTCCCGAAGACCTAGTAACCTTTGCAGATATTTATTTATTTAAATATAGCAGTTGTTATGTATACGAGTAGTTGTAAACAATATTTAAATTGAAGAGGATTATCGGCTGGAGGTCCAGGGTCCATAACTGGAATCTGATTTTCGCTCCAAATTCTACAGTTATGCCGGTTAACCTCTCCATTAAGTGAAAAAGTGCATTCGTCAGAAAAGCAAACGTTGTATAAGAAATTTGGGTTATTGTTGATACGCTCGGCCATAATTTCGCAAAACTCTTGCCTTCGATCCAAATCATCATCCTTTAATTCAAGAATTAATTTAATTTTACAAAATCCGAAGTGTTTCGGGAAATTTTTCCAATTACTATGGGATAAGAAATATACGGGGTGGCTCGTCTGAGATGGAACACCCTGTATAGTAACACCTTGTATGACAAATAACATGCGCGGGAAAATGAATTTTAATCACGAATTGTCCAAATATTTTGAAAATGTTTACCACTTACATTTTAAATGTCGTTCGAAGATTCGGTTTACTTTGTATTTTTCAGTTAGTGTGTAAAATATATCTATAACTTTCAAATATCCTAATACATAAATTAATAACTCGACAATTGTAAACCATAAAATTTTTGCGTTTTATTTTCCCACCTTTCTCGGTACTTTCAGGATGTACCGGTATAACTGAAAGTTAACTTAAGTAGCAACTTTATTTACTTACATAATTTTAAAACCACGAATAAATACTTTAAACATTTTATTCGTCTAAAATTTGACAATCGAGAATCATTTATACAATTTAAACCAAATTCTAGTTCAAATATCTATAAAACTACATGCTTGTAATTGACAATGTTGTCACTCTTAGGAGCCTAAGAATTCAAAATAAGGCTTAACAGCAACAAAAATTAAGGATACAATCTTTCTTAGTTTAGTTGAATAATTTTTCATAGATACAATTAAATGCTATATGTATTAACGTCCTCAAAGTTAAAACGTAGGTGGTATCTTATAAAAATTCAGGAAATTCCGGTGCACTGCATGTAATAATTGTTCAACTAACTATCCTTCCTCCATATGTTCAACTAGTTTGAAATAAATCAAAGGTTCCATACTACGCAATGTTTCTAAAATTATTTATTTAATAAAAATAACGCTTACATATAAATTAACTAATAAATCTTGTTATATATTTAAATTATTTTCCTTTAAAATAAAATGAAAAATATACATATTTAATATAAATGAAATAATACAATATAAATCCATGTAAAAAAGTTTAAGAATAAACAACCCTGACACGCATAAATTGTATCCTCCAAACAATACGGTAGATGCAAAGAAATGTCCGATGCACGTCACTGAAAAAATGATTATTCTATTCGACTAGATAAGTCATACATAGTTCATTGGCGTCGACAGCAAAATAAACCAAGTTTTGACTACACAAATTGTATTTTGAAACACCTTGTCAACAATAAATGTATTAATTTTAAATATTATTTTAAGGATTTCGATGTAATTTGAAATTAAATTAGTGCATGTTATTGAAAAAAAAAAAAAAAAATAAATAAACGTTACAGTATATACGAGTATAATAACAATCGTAAGTACCTATTTTGAAATTGACAATTTCTTTTTAAATAAAACATTTTGACAGACCCCCGTACATATATTTTCAGATGTTTAATTCTTTTTGAAAAACGTCTAATCCGAGCTATCAAGAGCCACTTATTCCTATATAATATGTAGTTTTTTTACACTATTAAGGTATTATATCAAATATAAAAAAAAATTACTAATTAATTTTATGTTAACCCAAAAATATGAAATCATTACCCCACGCACTGATTTATTCCATTTACAATATGGCACCGACTATGAAGAAACTTTCGCCCGACGAGAGGGAGAGGCAGGGGGGGGGGGGCAAAATCCGCGGGGCCCGGCAGCTTTAAAAAAAATAGGTTATAATATGTGGGGGCGGGCTCTTGCCAGTGTTTTGCCCCAGCGGCCTCACCATGGCTCTTGGCGGCCCTGCCTGTGGAACATACAATACTCGAATATCAATGACTGTTGACAGGCCGCAAAAGTAAAGCAGCTTTGCTATCTAAATATATTCCTTTTACCTTTTAATATTATGCTGGCGATAATTTTTTTTGTTATTGTGTAGTCTATAATCCACATGTACATCAAATTTAAATAAAAACATTTTTAATTGAATAAGAGAAAACTATAAATCGATTTGACGTAAGCACACTGACATGACAGCAGTTGTTCAATTGTTTTTAAAAATATAATATCTACCTAGTTATTCTAACCGATCACAGCCATCTTAGTTATAAGAAAAATTGAAAATAATATTTCGGATTTAAGGTAGTTCACTTGTAAAACGGCCTTTCTTAAGAATTCAATAAAATTGAAATATAAGGTTAATGAAAGTGTCTTTTATGTAACTAAAAAAAAAAATAAAAAAATTTTGACCGTCTGTGAAACGAGATATTAACAATCAAAATGTGCATAATTAACACTCTTGAAGCCTCTCATGTAGACAAGTAATGTATTTATTTCAAGATATCTCGAAAACGGTTCTTAACATATTTTTAAAAATTTAGTGTAATGTAAATCAAGAAGTTATAAAATTTTCTAAAGAAATGCTGAATTTTTTGACCGTCTTAGTAAAAAGATATAGATTTTTAAAATAAAAATATTTTTAAAGCAATCGACGCGTAGTTGCGTAAAATTATTACAACTTGGCAACGTTGTATACGCTGCAATCAACGCGGTGTACCAAAATAACACTCGATCAGCTAAGAGGATGTTATAATCTCGCGACGTTTTCTTGAAAAATTAATTCGTCCACTGTATTTGAGAACTGGAATCAGCGGTTCTGTTTGATCCAAAACAAACCCTTAAAATTAATATGAGGAAGTCACAAATTTCTATAGCAAACCATTCATATATTTATGAGGTTGCCATATATAAAAGCTTACATGTGTTTTATACAGTCTCTTACAAAAATAAAATTGATTAGCATTGAGAATCTCGAACTATGTACGACTGTCGCGAGTGAACTACCTTAATTTTCTTAATATCTATTTAAGCCCATTCAAATAAAAAATAATGTATGAAACACGGATGAAAAGTTTACCAGTCTCGACTACTTCTCGCTAGGCAAACTTCTCGTAGTCGGTCGAAACATTCAACTTTTTTCTTCAAGCGGATCTTTTTTTTTATGTAGCTTATGGAATGTACTAGTAGTATAATACTCCATAGTGCAGGAGTGCTAGTTCTCTAATACTCCTGCACCCTTATAGACAGGCCTGTTACTGTTTCCCAGCGCCAATTTAGGAACAGCTCTGTTAATTAGATCCTAACAGTGAATGGTCGGAGTGGGGAATCCTACATATGGATCAGAATTAATTTTAATAACTAAAAATATACTGACAAACAGTTTGACATAATTGTCACTTATTTAAAATAAAAAAAAAATAACTGGATGACCAAAATATAAACTGTGATTGGCGGAATTCATATGTGTACAGTGTTCTTACTAGGTACAATAAATAAGAAATATATTCGTTCAGTTGAAAGCAATGGCATTCTTTTTCGGTTTGTAGTCTTTACATAGAATAGCTAATATCCATGTAGGCGTAGAAAAAATATATTAACAGCTCCAAGCGAATTAGTTCTGTTAAGCTCCGATTTCTTTCATTGCGCCATTTAATAGTCATCACAAAAAAAAATTCGCTCAGAAAATGCCGAACCAGCAGGTATATACACTTAGTAAAAATTAATTTAACGAAAAAACATTTGGAGTATTTATATAGCAGTTTAAAAAAAACTTTTTTTGGTGTGCTTAAACTTAAAAAAAGTTACTTATTTTCAATTTCTTGATAACAGACTGAAATCTGCATCTCCTCAACTAATAACATTAAAACGAGGGTTTTAGCCGCAAAACTTTGTTTGGTTTGTTCAGAAAATTGAACATACATAATCAAACTTTTTCGTCAGCTGCAAACATGTAAAATGATGAAGTGTCTCCGAAAAGACAATACTAGGACTGTGTTTAAATCCTGGGAGCGTGTGTGCCACGCCGGTGCTGTTGCGAATAAGATAATCTTGAAAAATATTAAAATATAGTTTCTAAAAAGGACATTTTAAGGTTTAGAAAGTCACAAGGACAATTTGTTTGAAAAAAGGAATGTCCGTTTCAAAAAAGGACAGGTGGAAACCCTAGGCATGTATCAAGTATTAATCTTGAAATTGGTCAGTTTAAAACGGATTTTAAAAGCGTTCAATAATTTCAGCAGTCATGATATCGCATACTTCTGACTACCCGACTTTTAGAATGGTATAATTTTTTAGTCTTAGCACTGACAAAGAAAGACTCTGACATTACCGAACTATAACGATTAGAATTGTGTTTCAAATATTTTGAATTGATTGTTTGAACAAGTTTAATGTCATGTTTAATCGATGTAACATCAATATTTTTGAAGTTGTTTGAAAAGAAATTCACAATGGGGCATTATCAAATAAAAACAAAATTAACCAGAATAAAGTTTCCATTTAGAAAAAATAATTTTAATCAGAGGGCCTAGTTAATAGTATAGGAATGATCTTCAGATTGACCTTGTAGGAGTTGCAGATGTAATTCTATGTAAATGGACTTTAAAAAATTCATCAAGAATTCATGTGTTTTGGAGATTGACTAAAAAATGTTGAAAATCCATGTAAATTGGCAAAAAAGAATTTTATATTTTTATCTTGGCTCACCACCTTTTCTACTATGAAATTTAATTAATGGACATAACATTGTATAAAATTAGCAACAGGATGTTTTTTGAGTTTTTTTTTTTCACACCACCAAATTTTCTGCTCACAGTTGCTTTATCATATGTTTGTCAAATTCATTTTTCTGGAGTTTTATTTATCCCTAAATTTTCTAGCTCCTTTAGGATGTTTGCTAATTGCTCAGTTTTAAGGCATGTTGGAATTATAAATTTAAAAAATCTCTCATAAACAATACCTGACGAAATATAATGTATTACAAAAATCAATTGCCTTATTTAAAGTGCATATGGTTTCATATACTTGAATAGCCATATAATAAGCTAGCTCAATGTCCCGTTTAATTTGTTCTTGAGCAACCACCAACATTGAACCAAGTAAATCAATCTGTACAATTATTGATGAACTGTAGTCCCCTCTAAACATGCTTTAAATATTGGAACCAACTCTGAAGCAAATTCTATAAGCCCCCGAAATACTTCTGGATTTTCAGAAGGTTCCGTTTCAACATGCCCTCCCTCCTACAGCCAGTTAGGTAATATATTTAGATTTTTATTACATTTGCTTTAAATATTGTATCTAACTCTGAAAAAAAGTCCCTGAAATACTCCTGGATTTTCAGATGGTTCCGTTTTGACATGCCCTCGTAAAGCCATTTCAAATGAACTTCAACATTTTACACAATCTATTATTTTATATAATATATTTAGATTTTTGTTACATTTTCGTTAAAATTTCTTATATAATTTCTGTACTTGCTGCTTAATTGTGAACGAATATTAGTAATACCAATCACAACTTTTCATATGGTCTGCCAGTAAAGAATGTTTTTTTATTTTTTCTTTCAGGTGTTTGAAGTCTTTAAAACCATTTTTACACCAAAACAATACAATGCATGTGTTACTTCACAACCACAAATCCATTCTGACAAATCATAGATATATGGAAATAAGGATTTACTTCTTTATTTTTGAATAAGGTTATCGAAATCTCAAATGTGGTATATTTGTTCATGCTAGTCTGTTTAATTTGAAGATGTGGCATTGGCATTGCTTTTAACTCTGAATATTTTTTAAAGTTTAATTCATCAGCAATTTTTAATTTTCTGAATCATTGACATTACTGAGTGGAAGAAAATAATTACAACTCTACTTTAACATGTAAAAAATTTCACCAATGATAGAATAAATTAATGTGAATAATACTACAGAATATTAGATTTTTTTTTATAAACTTTCAGTACTGTTGGAAAATTCAATGTTATTTCTAATCAGCAGATTCCACATTGTGTTTCTTCTGCAAATGCAGTTTTCTATAATAATTTTCAACAAAACCCTTTTTACAGAATTGACATTTAAAAGGTTTATCACCTGTGTGTGTACATAAATGTTTCTGCAATTTATTGTTAAAAGCGAAAACTCTAGGACACACAGGGCAAGAAAACTTCTTTTCAGGTTTAACAATAGTTATAGTCCCGATGTCATGGATAATTTTTAGATGCTTTTTCAACCCGTAGTTGTTTTTGTACTCTTTACCTTCACAGAGATTACACTTGAAGAATCTCTCACTGGAATGGCTTTTTAGATGCTTGGAAACTTCCGATTTATCAAAAAATTTCTTATCGCAGATGTGGCAAGTAAATTTTTTAACGCCAATATGCCGTTTTTGATGCGTCACCAAGCTCGAGTTTATTGGAAAACGTTTATCGCAAAATTTACAAATGTATTTCCAGTTTTTCGGATCAGAATGCATGCAAATTTTATGAGTTCTTAGAATACTTGCTGTATTGAAACTTTTCTCACACAGATTACATTTATATTCTCTTTTATTTAGATGAATTTTGCTGTGGTGGTACAAGTCACCTGAACATACAAAGCTTTTACCACAATATGAACAGATAAAAGGTTTTTCATTGTTATGATTTCTTTTATGTACTAATAAACTGTGAGAAGTTGCATATTTTGCATCACACAAATCACACTTGTATGGTTTTTCAAATGTGTGTTTCGATCTTATATGGGCTGCATAATGTTGCCTTCTGTTAAACGTTTTTCCGCAATATTCACACGTTAGGGAAATTTTACTGTTACTAGAACGTTTTTCAACTTTAACTTCAATTTCTTCATCACTGAAATAATTCAAGTTTTCTTCATTTTCACTAAAAACATCTTCCTCTTTTTTAATAAATTCTTGTTGAATATTATTTTCTAACTTAGGAATTTCTGCAGCTATGGTGTTATGACATTTTTTTAAATGGATTGTTAAAGACCGCTTCTGTTTAAATTTTTTATTACATTTGTGGCAAATAAATTCTTTTTGAGTAGTATTTTTTTGTTCTGTTAATATTCTTAGTTGTTCTTTTCTTAATTCCCCGCTTTGTAAACAAGCTTGGATAAAACTGTAGGCTGAATCCAATTTTTCAATGCAATTTTTGCAAATATTGTAACTTTCACTCCATAGTTGTTTTTAAAACATAGTGCGTCACAAATAATAAAATTACCAAAAATAACCAAAGAACGAAAAAATATTCAAAATAAATTTTATGTGATTTTAAATACGTTAAAAATAATTTCTTAAAAATAAAAGTATGTAAATTAAAATTATTTTATATTTACAAATAATGTGTAGGTACGTTTAAAACTACTTTTTAGTCGTGTACATAACTGAATAACGATATATTATTCTTGTTATTAAAGGTATTTATTTATATAACAATGTGTGAATCATTAATTTGTAAATGTAACTGAACAAATGTTTTTTAATAAAACCTGTTAAGTGATGTACTCTATAAAAAAAGATTACAATAACTGTTGGAGTTTGATTATTCCCAAACCGACCCAGGTCGTCGTATCCTGTGTCCCAACTCCGAACCATATAATATGGAAAAGAAGAAATATGCACTGCCCTTTGAACACGTTCTAACGCTTAAGTCATTCATAAATTTCCATTATTTTTATTCCAGTGGTTTCTATACTAAAATCCGAAACATATCGGTTAGTTTAAAAATTGTCTTTTAACTTTAACAAATTAAATACAAACACAATGTTTTCCAAAACATAATTTAAATGACAAGCACATGGGAAGAATATTATTTATTGAGTACAAAAAGACAATAAAGGTGAAGTTTAACAATTGGATACATTCTCATAACTCAGGTTCATAAAGTCGAAACGCCCTCCAGATTTATATATGAGCAAAAGGCTATTGACGATATCCTTCTGTGGGAAATTTTGAAAAGGTGTTTGTAAGTAGGCATGTTTCAGTATTGCCAACAGTAGCGGATTTTCAGTCCTTGTAGCAAAGTAGCGGTGAAAAGGCCTTGTTTTTACCAAAATATTTGCGTTTACCAATATGTGATTGTTTAATTATTTTATAATTGAGATTCTTTAAACAAATGAATGTATCCCATTTTTTAAATTCAGTTTGCACTAAACGAAACACCAAGACACTCTCCTCATAATGATAATATATATCTCTGTACCTTAGAGAGAAATAATATTAAAGTTGGAAGTACGACTTTTTTACCTCTTTGAAAAATTAAAATACTATTTTTTTTAAACTAGTACTTATAAAGAAGCTATTTTCTACCACTAAAAAATATAAACTTTAGGTATTTTAGTGAATACATTATCTCCACTTAATACACAAAAGTTACTTTATGTCAAAATATTACTTTCTTAAAGGGCATATTGGTACCCAAATTTGAAAAAAAAAAATATTTTAAAAAGAACTGTTGTTTTTAAGAAATTGATATCAGTATTTTAGAAATCAGTTGTATTAGACAACTATTTGCCAACATTCTGATTTTCCCTTAATTTAATAAATCTTAAATTCGTCCACTGCATTGTCCAATTTCCACTTCATGCTAAGGTTTCTGTTCATTCTTTTTAAACAGTACTCCACCCTCGCCTCAATAGGACAATGGGCCCGTTCACTTTCATTTTTGAATGTGAATTAATTATATATTTATAAAGATATTAAACTCTTTTGTCTGGTGGTACTTTTCCCGTTAAGATATTTTTGCTAGAAGTAAGGGAATTCCCATAAAATTCTTTCAGTGACTCATTGCGTCAGAAAATCCCTAATTCCGTTCACGTCTCGTATCGGTTATGCTTAAAGACGGCGGGGTTGTCGGAAGTATCCCTAATATAGCATTTCTGCATTTATATATGTAATTTAAATAGTAAAATTCCATAATTTTTCTAAAAATCATGAACTTATATTTTCAGATTTAAAGCTGGGAGCTTATTTTTTACTTTTTAATTAAAACAATTATTATTACTCAGGCTGAAAATTAACCAGACCATAATCAAAAAGTAGAAATTTGATTTGCAATATTTATCTGGTAAACGTGGCAACGTTGCATTTATTTCTAGAAGTGTGTGTAGACAACACTATTTAGAAGTACTTACAACGTTGTCACGTTTACCAGATACATTTTCTCAAATAAAATTTCGATCTGGTAATATTCAGCTTGAGTAATACTAATTGTTTTTATTAAAATTTAAAAAAGGTAGGGCTTCCAGCTTTATCTGAAAATATGAACACATTATTTTTAAAAAATAATATATTTTTATCATGTAAATTTCTTTAATAAATGCAGAAGAGGAATGGTGGTGCAATAATACATCCGACAACCGCGCCCTTTTAACTATTAACCGATACGAGACCTGAAGGGAATTAGGGGTTTTCTGACGCAATGAGTCACTGAAAGAATTTTATGGGAATTCCCTTACTTCTAGCAAAAATATCTTAACGGGAAAAGTACCACCAGACAAAAGATTTTAATATCTTTATAAATATATAAATAATTTACATTCAAAAATAAAAGTGAATGGGCCCATTGAAAAATCGAATTCAAATATAATTCAATTGATTCAAGATTTAAAAAACGATTCATTACAGTACAACATAATTCAACAGAGTATCGAAAACTATATCTCAGGAAAAAAGATACATTGATGTAGACAGACGATTTTTCAGAACTACCATATTTAGAATAGAACTGAACTTAATAATTAATAATAAGGTATATTTTTCCCGAAGACCTAGTAACCTTTGCAGATATTTATTTATTTAAATATAGCAGTTGTTATGTATACGAGTAGTTGTAAACAATATTTAAATTGAAGAGGATTATCGGCTGGAGGTCCAGGGTCCATAACTGGAATCTGATTTTCGCTCCAAATTCTACAGTTATGCCGGTTAACCTCTCCATTAAGTGAAAAAGTGCATTCGTCAGAAAAGCAAACGTTGTATAAGAAATTTGGGTTATTGTTGATACGCTCGGCCATAATTTCGCAAAACTCTTGCCTTCGATCCAAATCATCATCCTTTAATTCAAGAATTAATTTAATTTTACAAAATCCGAAGTGTTTCGGGAAATTTTTCCAATTACTATGGGATAAGAAATATACGGGGTGGCTCGTCTGAGATGGAACACCCTGTATAGTAACACCTTGTATGACAAATAACATGCGCGGGAAAATGAATTTTAATCACGAATTGTCCAAATATTTTGAAAATGTTTACCACTTACATTTTAAATGTCGTTCGAAGATTCGGTTTACTTTGTATTTTTCAGTTAGTGTGTAAAATATATCTATAACTTTCAAATATCCTAATACATAAATTAATAACTCGACAATTGTAAACCATAAAATTTTTGCGTTTTATTTTCCCACCTTTCTCGGTACTTTCAGGATGTACCGGTATAACTGAAAGTTAACTTAAGTAGCAACTTTATTTACTTACATAATTTTAAAACCACGAATAAATACTTTAAACATTTTATTCGTCTAAAATTTGACAATCGAGAATCATTTATACAATTTAAACCAAATTCTAGTTCAAATATCTATAAAACTACATGCTTGTAATTGACAATGTTGTCACTCTTAGGAGCCTAAGAATTCAAAATAAGGCTTAACAGCAACAAAAATTAAGGATACAATCTTTCTTAGTTTAGTTGAATAATTTTTCATAGATACAATTAAATGCTATATGTATTAACGTCCTCAAAGTTAAAACGTAGGTGGTATCTTATAAAAATTCAGGAAATTCCGGTGCACTGCATGTAATAATTGTTCAACTAACTATCCTTCCTCCATATGTTCAACTAGTTTGAAATAAATCAAAGGTTCCATACTACGCAATGTTTCTAAAATTATTTATTTAATAAAAATAACGCTTACATATAAATTAACTAATAAATCTTGTTATATATTTAAATTATTTTCCTTTAAAATAAAATGAAAAATATACATATTTAATATAAATGAAATAATACAATATAAATCCATGTAAAAAAGTTTAAGAATAAACAACCCTGACACGCATAAATTGTATCCTCCAAACAATACGGTAGATGCAAAGAAATGTCCGATGCACGTCACTGAAAAAATGATTATTCTATTCGACTAGATAAGTCATACATAGTTCATTGGCGTCGACAGCAAAATAAACCAAGTTTTGACTACACAAATTGTATTTTGAAACACCTTGTCAACAATAAATGTATTAATTTTAAATATTATTTTAAGGATTTCGATGTAATTTGAAATTAAATTAGTGCATGTTATTGAAAAAAAAAAAAAAAAATAAATAAACGTTACAGTATATACGAGTATAATAACAATCGTAAGTACCTATTTTGAAATTGACAATTTCTTTTTAAATAAAACATTTTGACAGACCCCCGTACATATATTTTCAGATGTTTAATTCTTTTTGAAAAACGTCTAATCCGAGCTATCAAGAGCCACTTATTCCTATATAATATGTAGTTTTTTTACACTATTAAGGTATTATATCAAATATAAAAAAAAATTACTAATTAATTTTATGTTAACCCAAAAATATGAAATCATTACCCCACGCACTGATTTATTCCATTTACAATATGGCACCGACTATGAAGAAACTTTCGCCCGACGAGAGGGAGAGGCAGGGGGGGGGGGCAAAATCCGCGGGGCCCGGCAGCTTTAAAAAAAATAGGTTATAATATGTGGGGGCGGGCTCTTGCCAGTGTTTTGCCCCAGCGGCCTCACCATGGCTCTTGGCGGCCCTGCCTGTGGAACATACAATACTCGAATATCAATGACTGTTGACAGGCCGCAAAAGTAAAGCAGCTTTGCTATCTAAATATATTCCTTTTACCTTTTAATATTATGCTGGCGATAATTTTTTTTGTTATTGTGTAGTCTATAATCCACATGTACATCAAATTTAAATAAAAACATTTTTAATTGAATAAGAGAAAACTATAAATCGATTTGACGTAAGCACACTGACATGACAGCAGTTGTTCAATTGTTTTTAAAAATATAATATCTACCTAGTTATTCTAACCGATCACAGCCATCTTAGTTATAAGAAAAATTGAAAATAATATTTCGGATTTAAGGTAGTTCACTTGTAAAACGGCCTTTCTTAAGAATTCAATAAAATTGAAATATAAGGTTAATGAAAGTGTCTTTTATGTAACTAAAAAAAAAAATAAAAAAATTTTGACCGTCTGTGAAACGAGATATTAACAATCAAAATGTGCATAATTAACACTCTTGAAGCCTCTCATGTAGACAAGTAATGTATTTATTTCAAGATATCTCGAAAACGGTTCTTAACATATTTTTAAAAATTTAGTGTAATGTAAATCAAGAAGTTATAAAATTTTCTAAAGAAATGCTGAATTTTTTGACCGTCTTAGTAAAAAGATATAGATTTTTAAAATAAAAATATTTTTAAAGCAATCGACGCGTAGTTGCGTAAAATTATTACAACTTGGCAACGTTGTATACGCTGCAATCAACGCGGTGTACCAAAATAACACTCGATCAGCTAAGAGGATGTTATAATCTCGCGACGTTTTCTTGAAAAATTAATTCGTCCACTGTATTTGAGAACTGGAATCAGCGGTTCTGTTTGATCCAAAACAAACCCTTAAAATTAATATGAGGAAGTCACAAATTTCTATAGCAAACCATTCATATATTTATGAGGTTGCCATATATAAAAGCTTACATGTGTTTTATACAGTCTCTTACAAAAATAAAATTGATTAGCATTGAGAATCTCGAACTATGTACGACTGTCGCGAGTGAACTACCTTAATTTTCTTAATATCTATTTAAGCCCATTCAAATAAAAAATAATGTATGAAACACGGATGAAAAGTTTACCAGTCTCGACTACTTCTCGCTAGGCAAACTTCTCGTAGTCGGTCGAAACATTCAACTTTTTTCTTCAAGCGGATCTTTTTTTTTATGTAGCTTATGGAATGTACTAGTAGTATAATACTCCATAGTGCAGGAGTGCTAGTTCTCTAATACTCCTGCACCCTTATAGACAGGCCTGTTACTGTTTCCCAGCGCCAATTTAGGAACAGCTCTGTTAATTAGATCCTAACAGTGAATGGTCGGAGTGGGGAATCCTACATATGGATCAGAATTAATTTTAATAACTAAAAATATACTGACAAACAGTTTGACATAATTGTCACTTATTTAAAATAAAAAAAAAATAACTGGATGACCAAAATATAAACTGTGATTGGCGGAATTCATATGTGTACAGTGTTCTTACTAGGTACAATAAATAAGAAATATATTCGTTCAGTTGAAAGCAATGGCATTCTTTTTCGGTTTGTAGTCTTTACATAGAATAGCTAATATCCATGTAGGCGTAGAAAAAATATATTAACAGCTCCAAGCGAATTAGTTCTGTTAAGCTCCGATTTCTTTCATTGCGCCATTTAATAGTCATCACAAAAAAAAATTCGCTCAGAAAATGCCGAACCAGCAGGTATATACACTTAGTAAAAATTAATTTAACGAAAAAACATTTGGAGTATTTATATAGCAGTTTAAAAAAAACTTTTTTTGGTGTGCTTAAACTTAAAAAAAGTTACTTATTTTCAATTTCTTGATAACAGACTGAAATCTGCATCTCCTCAACTAATAACATTAAAACGAGGGTTTTAGCCGCAAAACTTTGTTTGGTTTGTTCAGAAAATTGAACATACATAATCAAACTTTTTCGTCAGCTGCAAACATGTAAAATGATGAAGTGTCTCCGAAAAGACAATACTAGGACTGTGTTTAAATCCTGGGAGCGTGTGTGCCACGCCGGTGCTGTTGCGAATAAGATAATCTTGAAAAATATTAAAATATAGTTTCTAAAAAGGACATTTTAAGGTTTAGAAAGTCACAAGGACAATTTGTTTGAAAAAAGGAATGTCCGTTTCAAAAAAGGACAGGTGGAAACCCTAGGCATGTATCAAGTATTAATCTTGAAATTGGTCAGTTTAAAACGGATTTTAAAAGCGTTCAATAATTTCAGCAGTCATGATATCGCATACTTCTGACTACCCGACTTTTAGAATGGTATAATTTTTTAGTCTTAGCACTGACAAAGAAAGACTCTGACATTACCGAACTATAACGATTAGAATTGTGTTTCAAATATTTTGAATTGATTGTTTGAACAAGTTTAATGTCATGTTTAATCGATGTAACATCAATATTTTTGAAGTTGTTTGAAAAGAAATTCACAATGGGGCATTATCAAATAAAAACAAAATTAACCAGAATAAAGTTTCCATTTAGAAAAAATAATTTTAATCAGAGGGCCTAGTTAATAGTATAGGAATGATCTTCAGATTGACCTTGTAGGAGTTGCAGATGTAATTCTATGTAAATGGACTTTAAAAAATTCATCAAGAATTCATGTGTTTTGGAGATTGACTAAAAAATGTTGAAAATCCATGTAAATTGGCAAAAAAGAATTTTATATTTTTATCTTGGCTCACCACCTTTTCTACTATGAAATTTAATTAATGGACATAACATTGTATAAAATTAGCAACAGGATGTTTTTTGAGTTTTTTTTTTTCACACCACCAAATTTTCTGCTCACAGTTGCTTTATCATATGTTTGTCAAATTCATTTTTCTGGAGTTTTATTTATCCCTAAATTTTCTAGCTCCTTTAGGATGTTTGCTAATTGCTCAGTTTTAAGGCATGTTGGAATTATAAATTTAAAAAATCTCTCATAAACAATACCTGACGAAATATAATGTATTACAAAAATCAATTGCCTTATTTAAAGTGCATATGGTTTCATATACTTGAATAGCCATATAATAAGCTAGCTCAATGTCCCGTTTAATTTGTTCTTGAGCAACCACCAACATTGAACCAAGTAAATCAATCTGTACAATTATTGATGAACTGTAGTCCCCTCTAAACATGCTTTAAATATTGGAACCAACTCTGAAGCAAATTCTATAAGCCCCCGAAATACTTCTGGATTTTCAGAAGGTTCCGTTTCAACATGCCCTCCCTCCTACAGCCAGTTAGGTAATATATTTAGATTTTTATTACATTTGCTTTAAATATTGTATCTAACTCTGAAAAAAAGTCCCTGAAATACTCCTGGATTTTCAGATGGTTCCGTTTTGACATGCCCTCGTAAAGCCATTTCAAATGAACTTCAACATTTTACACAATCTATTATTTTATATAATATATTTAGATTTTTGTTACATTTTCGTTAAAATTTCTTATATAATTTCTGTACTTGCTGCTTAATTGTGAACGAATATTAGTAATACCAATCACAACTTTTCATATGGTCTGCCAGTAAAGAATGTTTTTTTATTTTTTCTTTCAGGTGTTTGAAGTCTTTAAAACCATTTTTACACCAAAACAATACAATGCATGTGTTACTTCACAACCACAAATCCATTCTGACAAATCATAGATATATGGAAATAAGGATTTACTTCTTTATTTTTGAATAAGGTTATCGAAATCTCAAATGTGGTATATTTGTTCATGCTAGTCTGTTTAATTTGAAGATGTGGCATTGGCATTGCTTTTAACTCTGAATATTTTTTAAAGTTTAATTCATCAGCAATTTTTAATTTTCTGAATCATTGACATTACTGAGTGGAAGAAAATAATTACAACTCTACTTTAACATGTAAAAAATTTCACCAATGATAGAATAAATTAATGTGAATAATACTACAGAATATTAGATTTTTTTTTATAAACTTTCAGTACTGTTGGAAAATTCAATGTTATTTCTAATCAGCAGATTCCACATTGTGTTTCTTCTGCAAATGCAGTTTTCTATAATAATTTTCAACAAAACCCTTTTTACAGAATTGACATTTAAAAGGTTTATCACCTGTGTGTGTACATAAATGTTTCTGCAATTTATTGTTAAAAGCGAAAACTCTAGGACACACAGGGCAAGAAAACTTCTTTTCAGGTTTAACAATAGTTATAGTCCCGATGTCATGGATAATTTTTAGATGCTTTTTCAACCCGTAGTTGTTTTTGTACTCTTTACCTTCACAGAGATTACACTTGAAGAATCTCTCACTGGAATGGCTTTTTAGATGCTTGGAAACTTCCGATTTATCAAAAAATTTCTTATCGCAGATGTGGCAAGTAAATTTTTTAACGCCAATATGCCGTTTTTGATGCGTCACCAAGCTCGAGTTTATTGGAAAACGTTTATCGCAAAATTTACAAATGTATTTCCAGTTTTTCGGATCAGAATGCATGCAAATTTTATGAGTTCTTAGAATACTTGCTGTATTGAAACTTTTCTCACACAGATTACATTTATATTCTCTTTTATTTAGATGAATTTTGCTGTGGTGGTACAAGTCACCTGAACATACAAAGCTTTTACCACAATATGAACAGATAAAAGGTTTTTCATTGTTATGATTTCTTTTATGTACTAATAAACTGTGAGAAGTTGCATATTTTGCATCACACAAATCACACTTGTATGGTTTTTCAAATGTGTGTTTCGATCTTATATGGGCTGCATAATGTTGCCTTCTGTTAAACGTTTTTCCGCAATATTCACACGTTAGGGAAATTTTACTGTTACTAGAACGTTTTTCAACTTTAACTTCAATTTCTTCATCACTGAAATAATTCAAGTTTTCTTCATTTTCACTAAAAACATCTTCCTCTTTTTTAATAAATTCTTGTTGAATATTATTTTCTAACTTAGGAATTTCTGCAGCTATGGTGTTATGACATTTTTTTAAATGGATTGTTAAAGACCGCTTCTGTTTAAATTTTTTATTACATTTGTGGCAAATAAATTCTTTTTGAGTAGTATTTTTTTGTTCTGTTAATATTCTTAGTTGTTCTTTTCTTAATTCCCCGCTTTGTAAACAAGCTTGGATAAAACTGTAGGCTGAATCCAATTTTTCAATGCAATTTTTGCAAATATTGTAACTTTCACTCCATATCTAAAAATCTATTTGTTAATGTTTTAATTTTACATAACATTAGCAGTACCTGTTCCTTTGTACATAATGATAGTTTTTCTTTATATTTTATAGCATTTTCGTCAGATTCGTTGATGTTTTCTAAATGGGGATACTTTTTAACGCATACACAACAAAAATCTTTTAACTCCGACATTTGCAATGTAAAACATAACCCTATTTTGGAATGTTTTGTTTTTGCAATAATGCCAACTCAACTGCCCAGGCCAACGAATGCCAACACAACACAATCAGAGAGAACTAGGCAGAATCGGTCTGGCCCAAATGTATTTTAAAATCAATTTCAGCGAAATCGGACCCAAAAATTTGAGACTGAACTTTTCAAGAAAAATTCTCTGCTTGAGTTCACTTAGAGCGAATGTCACAAAATTTTCAAGACAGCAAGATAAACATCCATAAATCCGCCTTGAAGGCACTTAAGCCAAGTCATAGACCACAAGTGACAACAGACTTTATAGTGAATGGTGTAGTATTAGTTTTATAATTCTATGGACGTCAGGTGTAGGTGTAACTCATAGAGCTTGAAAATATAAATTGAAAGTAGTTTGACATTTATATTTGCTAATAATTGGACATCCGCCCTACGAATGCTCTCCGATTGAGCTGAAAATCAGCAGACGAACAATAGGCATACCCAAAAATATTTGAAATTGTTACCCTGCAGATTTTTAGCTCAAACGGTAACATTATTTTTTCATGAAAAATTCAAAGCCTTAAATATTTTTGGATAAAAAAACTTTGGGTGGCAATGTTAAACTTTAAGAAAAGAATGTTTCTCTATGGCCTCATGAGACGAATATGCCCGTCAACAGCCAGCCATTCATTGGGTTATGTTGTAGTTGACGGGTCTAGAAATGCGCGCGTTCACACCACTCTGCACTGACGTCTAGAATTTGAATTTGCACAAGCCACGTTGCCAAATCTCCACTTTCATTTCAGTTTGTTTTATTTTATAGTTTATTTTTCAACCAAATTGTAACCTCTGTATGATAAATAAATATAAAGATTTATATTATATTTTGAAATAACAATTCTGTTTTGTTTTATAAGACAGTTTTGATAGATTTTAGATTTAAATTTTGTAATTATCACTAAAGGTATTATTCACATTAAAAAACGATCGTATTACTTGAAAATCTTCAGAACATTTTTTTTATTTTTATGGGTTTTTTAATCGATGTAAAAATTGGTAAATAGATGATTAAAAGTAAAATAGTTATTTCAATCTGCTTATTCCCTGGTTCCAAATAATTAAATATAACCTGGCAACTCCGTAACGATTCCGACTGGCAGAACTAGCCGGAACAGGAATGGTGCGCACTGGCCCATTTCCAGACCCTTCAACTGCAACATAACCCAGCATTGCTTGAATGACTTCGACATTTGTAAGCCAGAAACATGGATAGTATATACAGTGAGCACCATAAGTCTTACTCTAACTCGTTACTGGAGTCTTGTTAGGAAAATCGCCGAGACACGTCGATTTTTGATTTCTACAATGTACATTTTTGTATAAATAGTTTACCCTTAATTTCATCCCTTACTGGAGGGGAGCAACCCTTTCGAAAAATTTAAATGGCATGGGGTGGTGAGTGATAGCTCATTTGAAAGAGGGCTTTATTCTCTATTCAACCGTGTAAAAAAATTTAAAAATTGCTTCATTAATTCTCGACTAATTGTTGTTTCAGAATAACGGAAATTAACCTAGCGCACTCATCCTTAGAACTAAAATTCGGCCCTGCATGATTTCGGTTTTGGTTCAGACGTGAAGTAAGACTTTTTGCCATTAGAAGGCGACTGTTAGTCTAGTTGCTTTCCTATTTTGTGAGGTTTTGTTATTTTTAAACATTAATAAATCAACACGTAATGAAGTAAATTTCAAAAATTTTTGCACGGTTGAATAGAGAATAAAACCCCCTTTCAAATGAGCTATCACTCACCACCCCATGCTATTTAAATTTTTCGAAAGGGTTGCTACCCTCCAGTAAGGGATGACATTAAGGGTAAACTAATCATGCAAAAATGTACATTGTAAAAATCAAAAATCGAGCTGTCTCGGCGATTTTCCTAACAAGACCCCAGTAACGAGTTAGTTAGGGGGGTAAGACTTATGATGCTCACTGTATACTATAAGTTCGCCTATAGAAATGAAATTATGATAACTAGTTGGCACTCGTTTAATCATTATTGCGTTTTAGAAATTCAGTTTCAATTTCAGAGAAAAACTTTTTCTAAAGGTAAATTTAAAATTTTTATTAGTTTTGTGCAATTATATTGTCAAAAAAAAATATATAAAAGTAAATTTCCATTATTGGAGTCTGATGGAATTTGATAGAGTAATAGGGATGTAGACTTTGATGACGATGATTCTAGTGGTGACAAAGTTCTTCACTTTGGGATTGGGATTACTATTATTGCACCTCTTGAACCATATGGAGTCTCAATGGAATGAAATTGGGCCATGACTTGTATATACGCACAAGCATATAACTGGTGCCACTCGGTGACTGAGTCGCCTCACACTCATCTACGACTTAAGCAAATATAAAATTTCAGTAGTTTCTGCAAATACGTGTTTTCTAATATCTGTATAAAACGTTTCACCCTAATCAGAGCAACTTTTACACTTTTGAATGAGGAGATATATTGAGTAAAGCTTTGGTTTCCTAAAAAGGGTTAGCGTCATACAAGGGTGAGCATTGCGGTGGCAGTAGATGTAAAGTTAGAAAACACGAGTATGGAAGTATTCTTACTAGTTTTCTTTTTCTAGCCTTTTTTTAATTATACGATGGATGATCTTGATGATGCAATTCGATTGATCAAGATCACTCTCAGGTCCAGTTAAATCTATTTGATAAATGTGTAGGAAATCATGATTTTTTCGACCACGAGTTTTCACGTATCTTTTTCTTATTGAAAACATTGTCATACTAAGGGTTACATAATGAAAGGTTATGAAAAATTAAATATAATCTTTATTAAAATATATAAATTTAATATGTACAAATATAAAGACACTGTCACATAAAGGCACTTTTCATTAAAAAAAATGTATAAATAAACATTTAATATATACTTAGGAAATATCAGAGATTTGATCTTTGGTTAGCAATAACCTGGCAAGTTGATTTTCGCTTCCCAAAAACAGATTATTCCTCTTTTCCTCTTTTTCTTCATGATATCTGATCTTTAAACTCATTTCGATAGCTCGCATGCAGTGAAGTTTTTCATGATACTTCAAAAACATTTCGAAGATGTTCCCGATTTTTCTGCGTTCATCATCAAGAATTTTTGAAATATCATTATCGATTCTAATTAGAGGTAGAATATGTTGATGTTTTTTTCTTGCTAGAATAAAAATCGAATGTTATTTGATTTATTTTATTATTTATCCAAGAAATTGGTGCCATTTAGAAAATACTAGCAAATATATTGCCAGTTACAAACTAAATAAAACAGAATGTTTCCAAAAAAGTTACACAACACATTAAAAATGAACACAATATTATTAAAAATACGTTAAAATATGCTCCAGATCGTCATCAGGCGTCTTAGTCTATAATAATTGATTTCATCTAACTAGTTTACCTATTTGCCTCAAGGATTTGATGAAAATGTGTTCCGTAATAGATATAATGTACAATCGCTTGAAAGTCGAAAAAACTTAATGTCAATCTCTAAAATTTATAAAATAATTGATTTACTTTTTAGAAACTCGTCAAAATGCACGAACTGCCAGCACATTTTCTCTTCCTCTTCCCAGAACTGACTGGCGGGGAGTCAATTCTTATTACAATGAATGGACACTTATAATAAGAATTCGTCGTTCATAATGTCACTCGTTGAAATAAATATTTCGAGAACTGACTCCCTGTTAATGAAATCACCATGTGTTAATATTTTATGTTTTAATTGTTATATATTTTTTGAAAAACTTCTACATGTTTTGTACAAAGTCAATCTTAATTTATAATTTTAGCTTTAATTATACAGGGTGAATCCTACGTTGATACTTTTTTTAACTGTGTTAAAATAAACATCTTTTTCAAATAATTTTTTTAAACACTCAAATATAAGAAAGATAAATCCGGGATTGAACTTGTGTACAAAAATTTGAATGAATTAATAAGTTTATGTTTATCTGTTTTTAATGAATCACGAATATTGCAATGCACAATATTTTATTTTTAGTCAAATTTATTTCGATTTTCTTCTTGTGATTCTTTGTTTAATTAATAACTTTGACATCAGAATTATCGTTTCCGATTTTTAATAAATAGGTAATTGTTTTTTAAAAATACTTTATACCAGCTACAATATATCCCCTGTAGTAATGTCACTGGGATTCAAGAAATGTCTTTGAGTTACGCTGCGGCCAGGCGCAGAGCCACATGGCGCTAGTATGTTTTGAATTTTGACGTCTGACATCGGCACGTTCATTGGTTGAAGACGAAGTTTTTGACTAGCGAAGCATGAAGTGTCATTATTGACAAATGATAATTTATTGATTTTTTCTTCTACGATATTTATACCGTTTATTAATATTAATTTTATTTTAGCGATATTTATTGTGATTGCATTAAGTGCTTACTTATTTAAGGAGGTCCTTTCGCCACACCTCTCGCCTCAAATGTTAAAAAAAAAGTTATTAGATTATGACTAAAATTAATTTTTTTCTAATAGTTGAAGTCCTTATTTATCTAATACTGAACTTTTAACTATACCTTACCTTGCAAATTTTTGAGAATTTTTTTTTTAAAAATGTGAGTATTTGTACAGTGCCTCACAAGAAAGTAAGTCCTCAACAACAATTCTCGAATTATACTAGTATTTATTGATTAGATGGAGTAGAAAAAAACTAAAAATAAGGTTTTTGAAATATTTAGATTTTGTTTTATACAATAAAATATATATAGTAAACCGTGGAACTTATTGAGAAATTAATATTAAAAAATCACAAAAAAATTTCAAGTAACCTAGTTGAAATTTTTTTGTGATTTTTTAATAATAATTTCTCAATAAATTCCACGGTAACCTATATATTTTATTGTAAAAAACAAAACCTAAATATTTCAAAAACCTTATTTTTAGTTTTTTTCTACTCCATCTAATCAATAAATAATAGTAAAATTAATTATAATTCGAAAATTGTTGTTGAAGTCTTACTTTCTCATAAGACACTGTACAAACACACACATTTTAAACAAAAAAATTTCTCAAAAATTTGCACGGTAAGGTATAGTTAAAAGTTCACTATTAGATAAATAAGGACATTTACTGTTGGAAAAAAATTAATTTTAGTCATAATCTAATATTTTTTATTTAACATTGGTGGCGAAAGGACCTCCTTAATATGGAAAGCAAAACGTACAACAAACTCAGAAAAAGAGGATTCAATGGCTATGGCTGTCATCTAAGGGTCCCCGCCCTACATAATACTTTTCCAGTGGGAAAAGCCTTTAAAATTCAAGTATAACAATTTTATGTTTCAGTTTCCCCTTCTTTTAATGTAGGTGCCAATTTTGACGTAAGTTTGTAATAATTTTTCATATTTTTCAGTTAATAGATACCCTCTAATATTATAATTTAACTAATATCTTATTTTCCTATGGACACGATCCAAGGAGGGAGTCCTATGGCTGTCATCCAAGCCCTAGATAATAGCTTTCCAGTTGTAACGGTCTTTAAAACTCAAGTATAATTTACTGTTTCAGTTTTTCTCCTTTTTCGAAGTAGGTGTCCATTTAAACTAAAAATTTTTATTTCACTTGTTGATTTTAGCATTTATATGCAGTATCGGCTATTGAACACTTTTCAATACCCTTGGGTAGCATTGAAGCAAAAACTCCTCCTGCGTTTGAGAATCCACATCGGATGCATTTTTTACATCTCGAGCGTTTTTTTATCCACATCTGACACATCTGTCCCATTACATCTACGTATACTGAATCACGTGATCAAAGATTTACTACATCTCGGATGCATCCGATGTGGATCCTCAAACGCAGCATTTATAGTTAGCATTAGTGCGGCCAGGAAACTAGTAATATGAATGTTGCCTTGGCTATGTTCATAGTATTCCATTCCATCTCGCACTAAAGCTAACTTTTTGCAGTTTCTACTTGGACATTAGCAAAACGTATTGTAAAACTTTCAATAGCTGACACTGTATTATCACAAACATCTCTTAATAACTAAATGATTTTATTTAATAGTTTCTTTTTTTTTTAGTAAAATGGATATGTATAGTTATCCTCGACTTAAAAATAATAAGTTTTATAATTTTTCAAATAAAATATTTTATACAATTTTTTTTACCAGAGCCAATTTTTTTCAGATCTAATCTCTATTGATAAAAAATAAATGACTCAGGTAAAATTGAAAAGTATATTACATGTTCTTTTAAATGTGTTGTTAATCCAAACGCTGCTCTTATTGTAATAGCTAACAATAAAATAATTTCAAAATAAAAATAGCGCCTGGATTTACAGCTCGTTTAATGGAACATGCAATATACTTCTCAATTATTATTTAAAAATTCCCGCCATTCCGCTGCTAGAAATTTACGATTTTGGCGGGAAATTTAAATTTCGCCTTAAAATTGTATTTAAATTTACCGCCATATCGAGTTAATTGAGCGGCCAGTCGCATTTAGCGCTGCCAACTTAATGCCATCTCTTTAACAAGTGAGATGCATTACTATAAGGGATAATTTTCAAATCAATATTCCGAAAACGGACTTAGTATCGAGTTTTACAAAAAATACCTTTTTGGTGTAAAATTGAATGATGTTTGAGTTCACATAAAATTTGACCTCAAAAAAGTTATGTTTAAAACTACTCGGTACGAACCCTGTAACTAAATTTATGCAATGTATCAGCTTCCAAAACATATTCGTACAAAATTTCATTACAATGTTGCCAGTAGTTTCAACATAATCGTAAAAAATGTATACATTATTTTTTCAATACTCTGTATCTTGAAAACGGATGCCATTAGGAAATTTTTTCACTGAGCAAACCCAACTTATTTTGCATGGTTCTACCTATCCTAGCAACTTAGGATTTACCATGTATATATATTTTGTTAATCTCTTTATTATTGTTATATTTTGTCCTATATTTTGATGCAATATATGTTGGGTGATAAAGAATGTATTTATTAATATGCATTATTTGACATCACAACATAATATGTGCTATTTTACATTACAGCAAGTTTAAAGGTACAAATTCTTTAAAATGAACTATTTGATACTATTTTTATAAAGTCACTACATACCGAAAACATAATCCTTTCCATAAAATGATATATACTTGTATTCCTCTCTATCGAAATGACCATTAAATTTATTAATATCCATCGTGCTCATTTGAGATATTTTTGGATTGTATAGGCGAAATGGTATAGGATTAAATATTTGGAAGCTCTGTATCGTGTTCATTCTAACCTAAAATGTATTAACAATCCTTTAAAAGGTCTAATTTTGAATAAGGAAAGCAAAAAACAAAATCTATTTTAAAAAACATCGATTCCGTAAACTTGAAACACTTGCTGCTAGAGTGCATCCCTGAGACCAGAGCTTCACATGCTAATGACACTTTTAATGCTGCTGCATATTAGATAACAATTTTGTGGGCCAACGAGTAAATTTTTGTGTACTTTATTTTCTAATTTTTGACTTGTCACTAAAATCATAAAATGTACACAATTTTACCTCGGATATCTAATAAGAATGGCCTCAATGTGATGCAATACAGACCGCTCTAAGCGTTGATTAACAAAACATGCCTCAGCTTGTTTTCTTTTCTTTTCTATTTTTTTTAATTGATGATTCTTCCATAAGCTATTTCTTTTTCTTCTCTACATAAAATAATGTCAAAAGCTGCAATTTGTATATCGTAATAAATTTTATTATAAAGCTTTTTGGCAGATTGTTAGACGGACCCCTAATTGTCATATTTCCAGATATTTTAATGAGATTTTTTAGTAATAAATACTTACTTACCCTGTTTAAAAAATCAACAGAAATGTTACAATAAACATCCAAAATTAAAGTTAGACTATCCAAACCGATTTTTTTCAAAGCTAAATCGACTAAAGCGAAATTTAAAGCTTTGTTGTCTTCAAAGTATAAAGGTTTATGTAGTTCGGGTAGCCTGATTGATAGCCAAGCTATTTTAACATCATCATTTCTGTACTTGCTGGCAGCTGCTGTGGTAAAGTTTTTTAATATGGCAAAAGGATCAGCATTGCCTTTGCTTTCGCTATTATATTGGTACAGTAAGATTATCATTAAAAACGTTTTTTCTTTTCTGTCCATTATAACTGATGCATAGTTAGTCAAAAATTCCATTGCCAAAGGAATTTCAGTGTCTTGAACAGGAAGTAAGATATTTACCCTTGTATTTTCTGTTACATATGGTACTGGGATAAATTCAATGTTACCCAAAGGTTTGCAAATTTCAAATCTGAAAAGGAAAATACAATTTTGATTAAAAAATTATTAATGTTGGGGTGTGCCACATATTGCGACTTATCTATATGACAGATGGTTTGTCAGACATATCCTGTCAAATTTATTATTACCGTTTTAATACTTGTTTTCCACTATTTAAGTCTTCGAATTTCATATCTAAAGTATAATCCAATCCTCTGCTTAAATCGAAGATTTTATATCCATTCACCAATTCCATATATTTGAAAAATCTTGAATTACCATTTTGCATTTTTAATTTCACTTCCTCAATAATGTCCTAAAGAAATAAAATGGATTATCTTAATAACGGGTTTAAAAAAAATTTAAGTGTAACCTCAAGTTCTTTTATTTCTGCCTTTGAGAGTTGCCTAATGCTTGTGAAATCGTCTGGAAAAAACACATGTGACATGTTAAAATAATACTGTTTTGGCAAATCAAATCTCGTGGCTGGTTTAGCTCCTTGTCTTTGACCAGGAGGCCAAACTTCTGTTAATGGGATTGATATTTTTTGTACTTCATCATTTAGAAGCTTTAATCGTTCCTAAAACAATCACAATAAGATTTATGTTTTTAAATATTATTGTAAAAGAAAATAAAAACTAATGAGTTACCATCTTTGGTACCATTTTTGATTAGTGTGTTATGATCTTTGAAGAAACTTTTTCAATTAATTTGACACTTCACTAATACACATTACCTTAATTTTTTAGTAATATTTATTAAGATCAATTTTTTTTGATTTGTCACATTAAAAGATAACTCAATTTTTTTATTATTTAGGAGAATTTTGTCCTGTATCTTGATATGTTTGTATAAGGAAAATGAGATAAGCAGTAGAAGTAGCTATATACACCCTCAAGATTTTGACAGCTACTTAAATAATCATTGAAAATGATAGAGGTAACTATAAAAATTATTTAAACTTAGTTTTTATTTTAGTTAAATTTAAGTATCTACTTTTTTATATTAATAAAGTTTAAGCAAATTACAATGACTAAATAAATATCTTCTTGAGTTGTTTTCAAATTGGGAGTCATCAAAATCGTGAATTTCTTGGCATGCATTAGATGGTTTTAAAACTAATCTGAAATAATTTAAAATCTGCCTTTCTACTGTAATTATTATTGTAGGTACATAAATTAATGAAATGTAAGTGGAAAAGGTACAAAAGTGTGTAAAAAATTAAAAATTTGTATTAAAAAATTAGCGCACTTTCGGCTAACAAAGCCATCTTCAGAGCCATAGTCTATTATACCTTCCACATGGAGTCAATTAGATGAAACATAGAATTGTTATCAACAAATACAATAGATAAACATTTATGTAGGTACGCTTATACCTGTTGTACGTTGTACCGGAAAAAATATTATTTTTACAATTTGTATAATTGTTTATTAATGTTATACTTTTATCTTGCGTTAGTGGGGTTAGGTGCCTTTACCTAAATGTTTATCTATTGTATTTGTTGATAATAATTCTATGTTTCATCTAATTGACTCCATGTAGATGGTATCATAGACGACGTCTCTGAAGATGGCTTTGTTAATCTGACAGTGCTTAGCCTAATTTTTTACACATTTTTGTAGCTTTTCCACTAGTAGTGTGTCCACTCTCAGTCTACTTATTTACATAAATTAATGTTCATTTTTTTAATCATTATTATTAAATATATAAAAATAAATTGACTGATTTATAGCACATTACTCTTTCATACCTTATAACTTGAACCTTTTTATAACTTACTTTCAAAAAATAAGCATTCAATGTATAAAAATCATCTTTTTGCAACACAGGATAAATAGTAATGGCCTTATTAAACGTTTCCATCAATGACATTTCTTTCAAATGAGGAGCTAATTCAAAATGCTTAATTTTAAAAGATGGCAAACTTTCCATTTGTACGGATTCCTGACAAGATATTGCAAAACTGTGAAAAGCACATCTGCCAATATTTTCACTGGGATCTTCAGACACAGCATTCATAATACACCAGTCCAAATGGTTTCTCATCACTTTCATAACAGAATTACTTAATAAAATACCAGAGTCTGAAATATAATTAAGATTTTTAAAAAATCTTGGTAAATTTCTAGTTTGAACCCTTCACAGTATAGTTTTACCAAATATAAAAAACTACTAGACTAATCCATTCATTCATAATTAAGCCCTTATTTATTGCAAGTATTCAGATTGTTTTATGTTAGACAGACCCAGCTGTCATACCGTCTGCCATATTAGAAAGAGCAAGACGCTTGCTAAATTAGGTGGGGATGGTTTGTGAGAGCTTGTTTATCAGAGGGTTGAGCACACGTTTTATGAATGAACCAGATTGTACAACTGTAATTCCTGCTTTACATCGTTGGTATACTAAAAAAATATTGTACTTTCCTGTTAATCACCTTCAGGTTCTATAATAGTTGTAACCAACAAAAAGACATTAAACAGATAATAACTGGCATTAAGAAAGCAAATGTACTTCATTATTGTAATTTTAAAAAGCTTTGTGTTCTACACACACCGCTCTTATCAACTGAGCTATCAGAGCAGAGACATGGTCACTGACTTTCCAATCGTTAAGATGAATCAAACCTAGTAAAAACAACTAATCAAATTTTTTAGACTCTTGAAATATATAAAATATTTCGATAAAATTTGCTATTTTTGAAAAAACTGGATGCTTTGCTATCTTCCAACAAATCTAGCTGAGCACCACGATCTTTGTTTTTTGTTTTTTTTTTTTTTTTCTAAAAACAACCACATCATAATAAAATGCGATGTTTAAAAAACGATGTGCTCTGCACATGGGCGCCGTTCAAAATATTTCCAGGGGGGACAAGTCTTATAGAAAGGGTCAAAACGCTGCAGGCTGTAGTCGAAAGCCATGGCGAAAAATAAAAAAACAAATCCAAGGGGAGGGGGGGCAGAACCCATTTAAAAAAAAATACGTATGGCACTCTGAGACTACCGCGGTAAATCTATTGCATAGCATTTTTTATCAACTTATGCAATTATAATTATTTATTTATTTTATTTATGCAGTATTTTTTTTTTCTTTGATATTAATTCAAGTTACACTTTTTGAGCGTGGTGACCGATAAGAAAACAAATTTTTTGCTTTTATTGAATAAATGAGAAGTTAATATTGTTTAAAATATTTGTATTAGCTTACAATACATGTAGGTTATTCAGGAATTTTTATCATTGAAACTATAGGTTTATGGTAACTGAAATAAGAAACATAAGTTTGAGACTTGATATCCTCTAAATATCTGGAAAATACCGCGTCAGTGGTGTGGTCCCACATTTTGTTGTGGCTTCTTGTGGATCATTATTCATTTTCAAATTCAATTTTTTCGAAATTGTGTCTAAAAGAGATAGAATCAGTTATGAGCAGTTAGCAGCTAATACGTCTACAAACACCGTGCCGAACTGAAACGGCGTTAGACGATGCACGGTTTTCAAGGCCGCACCGCTGTGCCGGTAGGAGTGGGGGTGTTAGGTTTATTTTCGTTGCGGAATTTCTTTTTACATTTTTCGATTTTTTTATTTTTCGATTTTCTTTTATTGAATAAATGAGAAGTTAATATTGTTTAACGCCGCACCGCTGTGCCGGTCGGAGTGGGGGGGTGTTAGGTTTTTTTCGTTACGAAATTTCTTGATTCGGTCGCCGCGCTCAAAGCCCGCGATAAAAGCTACACAATAGCTTAAAAACCCGGAAGGCATTAGTATGAGTTGTTTTTAAAACGACATCCTGAAATTTTGAATAGGCAAAATTTAACAAAGTTACAGAACAAAAAAATTAGGGGATGGTTTTCCGAAATCCAACAATATATTAGCGATAATCATCTGTCAAGTATATTTATTTATCAACGAGCAACTGCCCAATTAAAATACAAGTTTAATAAAAGGGAAAATTTAAAACCTAACCTACACTTAGAGAAATAATGAAACAAAGATTACCATGAAATTACCATAGACAAGAAAAAATAAAATATTAAAAGAAAACAAGGTAACAATTGTAAATAAGTTAAATTAAATTATCTAAACACATCCAAATATCACATACATGATTTAAGTTGGGATTTAAAAACTTTTTGATTATCAAAGCAGTCCAACCCCCAATAAATTAGAATACTGATTAGCAAATATACCTGACCTTGATAGAAAAGAATTATGTCCGTAGTTAGTCCAATATTCTAATATTGAAAGGTTGAATAACCTTTATTTGTCTAGAAGGAACATGAATATTGATCTATAACTCTGGACTAAAGCTATATGAGTGCAGTAGATTGTAGAATGTGGTAAGATCCTTGTGCATGCGTCTGATCTGAAGAGTGGTAATATTAAGGGAACTCTCAATATTTGAGTAATTAATAACCGCAACTCCATGATGTTCCTTAAATTAAATAAATCTTAAAAATGTATATTGGACTTTTTCAGTGACTTGAATATGAACATTGTAGTAGGGGGACCAGATACAAGGGGTTCTGTACTACAACATTACTCTTAGATTTAACAGATAACATTATAAGATCAATGGATGAAGGAAAAGCTACAAGAGTTACTCTGCTTGACTTTTCTAAAGCGTTTGACACTATAGATCATCAGCTTCTTTGTGCCAATCTCAAATATTTTGGTTTCGATGAAACCTCACTAAGATTTTTAAAATTTTATTTAAGTAACCGCTACCAAAAAGTAACGTTAGAGAAATCATCTAACTTTATGTGTGTAACATCAGGAGTACCCCAAGGTTCTGTCCTTGGTCCCCTTTTGTTTTCCATATATACTTCAGACCTTTATAAATTATTGGAGCATGTAAATATACACTCTTTTGCTGACGACACGCAACTATATTATTCCTTTGACCCATGTGAAGTAGATATAGCCTCGCAAAACATGAATTCAGATCTAAATGCAGTATATATATATATATTTTTTTTTTCTATGAATCATAACCTTAAACTAAATGCCAGTAAATTTCATTCGATATTATTTTGTCCTAAAAATATAGAACATAATGTGCAACAGAACCTTAAGTTATTCATTCAAAATGAACCTCTAAAATCATGTAGAAGTGCCAAAGACTTAGGCATTATTTATGACTGCAAACAAGGTTTCAGGACTATGTTTCGCTTCTAGTCAAAAAGTCGTATCTGGTTATTCGTCAATTATACAGGAATCGAGGTATTTTGAGTTTCAAATTACGTAAGTTGCTTTGTGAAAGTCTTGTATTGTCCATCCTAAATTATGGACTTTTAATTTACTATCCTTGTTTGGATCAAATAACCAAATGCAGACTTGAAAATTGTTGTTGTCGTTTTGTATTTGGTATCAGAAAGTATGATAGAATATCAAATAAAATTAAAGAACTTAGGACTCAATATAGGAAATTTATTTAAATATCAGATGGCGGCCACGGTATTTCGAATTCTTTCAACCTCAACTCCCATATGATGTAATGAAGTCAATTGTTCCTCAATCAGTTTATTTTCATTTTTAATAAATATTAACGCGATTGAACTGTCGGTTAATTTACAGATGCGCGAACGCCGATCGAGATATCGCTGCGCGGTGGGACTGGCGTTGGTGGGGTCTCTGATAGGGAAAGGGATTCTACAGTTGAGCGAGACCCGAGATGGAATTAAAATTTTCAGTTCGATATAATATTTGACCGTCACCAGTTCAGAATAATAAGCCGCATTTTCAAATCAATTCACCGCCGATAATTTCTTTTCTTTCTCGTATTTACAAAGCCGTTAGGTAAAAAACTTTGTATCGTTTTTTTTACGTTTATATTGAGACCGTATTTCATTTTAAAAGCCGAATTATATTGTAGGAATAGGAACATTTTCATTCAGTGTTTAGTTAAAAGATTTTAAATTTTATTTCATTAATAAATATTAGAATTTATTTCTTGGCAAATATAATACAGTTTCTTTAAAGGGAATAAAATTTGATTTAAATAATAAATGATAGGATTTAATTCTGTAATATTGTAAAACCGGGGATTTAGACTTTTGATCGTTAGTCTGTATTAAGAAATTATTTTTTTTTGGTAGGTTAAATCGGGAATTAAATTTGATTTTATTGATAAATACTTTTGTTTAGTAAGTGCCGCGTTGTAATTAAGTTGGGAATATTTATAAACGGAGTTTTCGAGGAGACGTTTTCCCTCTTTTAATAGTTTATTCTTTTACCGTATATTTGAATAATCTTAAATAGCATCCTGTCCTTGTCTGAACGGGCTCGTGATGACGATCAGTTCACTCTTGGAGTAGGTGCTATCCGCGTTATATTTTTTTTTTAGTTAATCTGTAAACCGCAAATTTAAATAAGCATAAATAGTATCCTGTCCTGTTTGAACGGGCTCGTGATGACGATCAGTTCACTCTTGGAGTAGGTACTATCCGCGTTAGTAATTTTCTTCCCTCCGATAATAGTTTGTTTTTTCTTTTACCGTCAATTTACATAACTTTAAATAGTATCCTGTCCCTGTATAAACGGGCTCGTGATGACGATCAGTTCATTCTTGGACTAGGTGCTATCCGCGTTAGTTTTCTTATTCCGTTTGTATTTGTACCTACATTTTAGTTTGATTCCCGATATAACAGTTAAATAGTTAATTTTTACTACGACCGCTCTGAGGATTTTTCCTTACCGAAATGGGAAATTAAGTTTTAGTTTAATTACCGAGTAAATAGCCAAGTTAATAATTTTTTTGCGACCGAAACGTTCATTTTATTTTAATTCAATTTTGACGTCTGATTGAGACTAGTCGGGATTCAATACCGTCCGTTTTGTTTCTTTATTTTTTTTTGTTCAGGGTTATATTGACTATCACCACAACTGGGGTGGGCGTTGAAATATATAATTTTTTTTATGTTGTAAATAGTTGAAAACAATATATGTGTCAATGTTAACTTGCCGTATTAATGGTTACTAATTCCATATTTTATTTCCCCCTTGTATTTCAGCTAGTGATACATTCTGTACCAGTCCAAGCAACGATTAAAGCCCGTTACTTGTGGCTAACTATTACCTGTGTCTAAGTGACCTTTGACCCCTGGAATTTTTCATCTCCATCTGTAGCTACCCGAGTACTTTCGACGCCGTTTCGAGAGTTTGTGGAGTAAACCATAACCAAAAATCTGGCGCTCGAGAACCGCCCGTAACCAGCGTCATTCGTAAGGAACCGTTTTCTCTGTGGCGAGAAAACCCCTTACAATACTTAAAAAATAAATTGATATATCGGAAAGATCTGCACAGTTTACATTTGAGATATCCACACAACTTAACGATTCCGAATTACCAATTATCATTTTTCAAAAGATATTTTACATATAATGCCATTTCAATATATAACAGTCTACCTAGGGATATTAGGACATGTTCTCTGACATTTTTAAAACAAAATTATAAAACATTGCTATTAGTTGAGCAATGAATACAGTGCTAACGTTAATATATTATTAATTTCAAATATTTTTCCTTATTTAATTGTATTTTAAGTTCCATTGATTTCAGTTTAGATTAAATACATGGTTAACATTTTTTAATCATAAATTAATTGTATATTAAATTTCTTATTTTTTTTTATATTGTAAATGATTATTTTAAATTTATATTTATGTTGAGGTTAAGTTGAGTAGCGCAAGCTAGAGACTAGACTTCGCCTCATGATGTTTATGTGCATTATATATTACAAGCAAATAAAGGCATTTTATTATTATTATGAACATTAATCTAAATGGGGCTTCACAAGTGAACAAAACAATATTTTAATAGATGATAACTCTAAAAAATCCTTAGAGCACCGTTTAATAAAGCCTAGCATTTGAAGTGATTTTGAAACTGCCATTGATATATGGGGTATGAAAGATAAGTTGGAATCGAGAACTACACCCAAATCTTTAACTTGAGATACCAATTCCAAAGGGCAACCATTAATAATGTAGATTATTTGTTCTGTGGGACTTTTGTTACGACTGGAAACCATTTGATGGCACTTTTTAACATTAAGTTCCATTTCATTGATTCCATTCCAGTTGCTGAGGCGATCTAAATCAGCTTGGAGTTTTATGTAATCAGATTCATTCTTTATTCTCATATATAATTTTAAGTCATCTGCAAATATTATGAATAGGGCAAAGACAAAACAGGATGCAATATCATTCACATATAAATTAAATAGAAGAGGGCCCAAGTGTGAATCTTAGGGTACACCTGATGGTACTTTAATCCCTATTGATTGGAAGCCTTGCATATGCACTATCTGTATTCTTTCAGTAAGGTAAGAAGATAGCCATTGAAACAGTTCCCCCTGAATTCCCGAACTCTGCATCTTATTACTTAAAACTTTATGGTTAACCCTGTCAAAAGTTTTTTAAAATCTGTATACACAGCATGTACTTGATTATAATATCTCGGTTGAATAAAAACCAAATCAAGTAAATTGTTCTTAACATGGAAGGACCCAAGATCAATCAGCTTTTTCTCTCAGTCCAAAAGGAGAAAGATAATAATTATCTAGCCCTTGTCGATATTAGGTTCATTATTAATGTCAGTAATTGGTTAGTTCCATTGTTAGGGTGTTGATAGTAGTAACATAATACTTAGTTTGATATTTCCTCTAATATATTAGGTTTTAATTAATTTTTTATTGCTTTATTTTTATTAACTATGAGTTATAATTATTTTAAATAATGGCCTTTTAATTTTAAATGTTTTCAACATATATACCTATGTGCTATTATGTCGAAAATTGGGACAGTTACATTACCATATTTTTTAAAGTTTTTTTTTTTTGAAATGTTTTATACTATTTCAGGAGCCTAAAACTAGCCTAATAAAAATCGGCCAAGTGCGAGTCGGACTCGCGCATGAAGGGTTCCACACTATCATACACAATTTAATACTATGTAGGTACTTTTTATTATTTGTTGCACCATGAATACACATTCTGAGAAAATTTTAACTGTCTACCTATTAAGTTACATAAGATACAGCCCGCTGACAGACAGACGGAAGGACAGGCTTAGTAATAGGGTCCCTTCAGGTACACAACCCTAAAAATGTGGCATAGTTCTTTTTAAAGAAAACCTAAAAAAACTTACAGGAACTTGCAAATGATCAGAAAATTACCCCTATATTTTATAAGTGGAAAGCAAAGAAAGCCCTACGGCTGCAGTTCAGGGAGAAAAATTCAATTTGAGGTTGTTATCATTTTTGGGTATATTGTCAACCCAAGCTATAATATAGTGAAAATTCAGAACTAATAAGTTAGGACCAGATCAGAGAACAAGTAGGTAAGTGTATTAATAGATTGCCTTGGCCAGTTTTGTTTTTGAAAATTGCTGACAGAAAATGAAAAAAAAATTATTAGTTACAAAACTTTCAAAAAAAATAAAATAGTGGTGAATGGGTGATGATAGTGTCTTATATAGGTATGTATACATCATTTTTGTCAATTAAGAAGGGCTCAAATTAGACATTAACCAAAATATTTTTTTGAAACACTATTGAACTTACCTAAATTACAGTAGCTGCCATCCTTAACCGTTTTTCCTAAGTAAACATCCATGCTTACACTTATTTTCTTAACTACCTCATTTAGTCTATGGGCATTGATAAATGTATAATCATTGGCAAAAAAGTAATAATCATAATCATGTCCAAAAGAATCTGCTACAAATTTAATAACCTGAAAAGGTCTGTATTTATACCTAGCATCAGTAAATCCAACTAACCCAGTAAGGTTGTACTTAGTCTTGAGTTTATACTGAGCTGTGATAAAAAATTTTAATTTATCTACCAGATGCCCTATAGTTTTGTTAATATGAATTGCTTGTGTATTAATTTTTTCTTCTGATGAGAAAATTCCGACGAACAACTTTTCTCTAATGCCCAATTCAGTGGAGTAATATCTAGGTCTAATTAACTTAGGCTTGTTTGGATTCGTTTTCTTTGGAACAGGTTTCGGTGCTAACTTATTAACGGATAAATTTATAATCTCTTGAGCAGTTTCGTTCTTCATTAGATGCAATTTGGCTGGACATGAGGAAGGCCCTTCAGTATAAGAGAATATCGTTGAAAAATACAAACCTATGAGTACACCTATAAATAAATATACATTTTCAGAAAAAAATCTTCGGAGTCCTCTGTACATTTTGTTTTATTGTTTTTTATTTTACATTGTTTATTTCTAAGAAAACATCTAAAAAATGGCTGTCAAAGTGTCAAATCAAAAAATGACGTTTATTAATTATTTAATCTATTCTTCTTTTTTATTATTAACAATCTGAGGATTGAACTACTAATCAGAATCCTTTAACAGTTGGCAGCTAATAAAGAATACCAACGTAACCAAAATCATCATCAAAACGTTGACACATTGACAGTTCTTTTTATTATCGTGAAGCATGTAAACAAATCGCGTTGATTTTTGATATTTTAGGTCATATACAAACGGAAGAAACTCAATATATCCGTAATAAATATTGAGAATCATTTTTAAAGGATCAGCATGGTCGTAGAAGGAGAATATTACGACGGTCCATGCAAACTGTTAGAACTTCCCCATTATGTTATGAGGATACTGTTCTCTTATTTAGATGCAACTGCACTTTATCATTTGAGCAGGTAAAGAGAATAAAGGATTTTCTAGTCACTGCTCTTTATTTTATAATAAAAAAAAATAGTATTTATCAAACAATTTGAAACTTCAGATAATACCTTTGTTGTCTATAATTAATTCACCTAATAAAATGTTTTCTTTTAGAACTTGTAACTATCTGAAAGAATTTATCCTTGACCCCTTGTTTTGGAGACAGATTGATGCTAGGGACGATCCGAATATTTGTGATAAAATAGAATATTGTTCACATAGAATTCACTCGAGAACGACGCACCTATATTTAAGAGGGAACCTTAGTTTTATAGACCTGCCAATTAACTTTTTTAACAATCTAAAGCCTTTTGAGAACTTGAAAGTGTTGGCACTAGAAAATTTTAAACTTAGAGGGTCAAAGGTATATATTTTTGTTACTAAAATTGATTTTGTATAATGCTTGGGTGTAAATCTTTAGGTGACTTTAAGAGATTTCCCATTGGGTTTGGAAGAATTAAGTTTGAGGAGAACTTATGTTAAAAATTCAGATTACTTTTTTCAGCACTCTGTAAAAAGTATGCCAAAATTGCGGGTATTTATTTTTCTTATATTTGAAATATATATTATTTTACTTCAATATATTGCAGGTACTGATTTTGGATGAGTGTTCGTGGGTAACATGCAGTTTTTTATTGTCTGTTTCCAAATATGAACATTTGGAAATAATTTCCATAGTGAAATGTTTAAGGGTTCATTTGAATATGATACCATATTTGAATGTTGCCAAGCTGGGTTGCAAAAAGCTGAAAATTTTTGATTGCCGGTTCACAGGTAATATATGCATTCCTGTAACATGATTTGACTATAACATTCTTAAGATAATTAAATATCAAAATTTAAATAAATATTATTCACATATATTATTAAGTGTATATAACAATTTATTTGGGAGGTTGGAGTGTTTGGCTTTTAAAACGAATTGAATAAATTTTTAACACATTAAAACAGATCATTTAATCCTTAACAAGGCAGAAGGACTTCAGTTGATAGCCTATTGGACTGAATTTTCAGTTCAATAAATGACAATTATTATTATTAATCCTTAACATACGTTTCAACATCACTACAAGATACCTATTATTCATTATTTCATCATCTAAGTCAAATAACATATTTTTGATAGCTTGAGACGGCTGTCAAAAAAATCTGCTGTTCTAATAATTTTTGAAAGCATTTTAAAATATTCTAACTTTCAGGTATAGGAGGAGAATTACTTCGCACCTTCTACTCAAAAGACAATCTCCAACGGCTTTACTTTCAGAGTTTCAGATCAGCTGAAGTAGATTACCAGGAAAAAATTGTTAATCACTGGGACAGTACTAGGAAAAAACAACCCATAGATGCTGCTTACACAGACATGAGCATTTCAGATATGCATATGTATGAGTACAATACAACAACTGCTAAGTCTAGAAATGAGTTAGAAAAGATTTCTGATAGTGTTTTGTACAAGGATCCTTATCCAGAGTGTACTTGTGGAGGAGAAGGAAAGAGGGATAGTGGCAATGGTAAGATTTGTATTTTTAATGTTATTTGCATTGTTTGATATTGCAAATTTGCCTATAAAATTTAATGTACTTAGTACCATGACTCAAATTCATGCTAGGCACTCATCTGGTACCATGATGCAAATGATTCATGCCTTGAGCCCTTTATTAAACATTTTCCTGTCATTACTGAATAAGTACAATGCATTAGTTGACTAGTGAAATCTGGTACACAACTTCATATAAAAGAAGAAAGAAAAATAAGTTCATATAATGCACCTAGGTGAAAGTACCTGCATGTGCATTAAATGACCAAAATTCAAATTTCAATACATACAATTAAAGTAAGTAATAAATAATGTGACACTGCAATTAAAATTTGTAAAAGTTCTTCAATTAAAAAATAGTTGTCAGTTTTTTTTTATAACTGGTAAGGAAATTTGTTGACCCCATTACAGATATAAATCTTGTTAGCATCATATTTGCGAAATGGTACAGTAACTGCACTATCGTTTGTTAATTGTGATGTACCAAATGTTTGTTTTTTTTTTTTAACTTGAAGTAGAACATGCAATTCACATAAAAATGTAGGGATGGCACAAAATTGATTGAAAATACATTTTATCGAATGACATTTGATCAAAAATATATTTTATTGGATAACATTTGATCGAATGACATTTTATTGGAAAGACAATAGATCGAAAGGACAAGATATCGAAAATCAACTTTTATTTAAAATTATAAAAAAACTTAACTTATTTACCTAACTTGTGCAGCCTGGCGCCATCGCGGGTTGCTTCGCAAAAAGGTATACATAAAATGAGACAAATTAAAACACAACTATTCACCTATCCTGTGGGACCTGGAGTCATCGTGGGTTGCTTCGCAAAAAAAGTATGCATAAAATGAAAGGAAATAAAAAAAACTTTTAATCTGCCTAATCTGTGTGGCCTGGAGCCATTTAAATTTTACCGATCGCCCACACACAGATTAGGAAAATTTGTTGTTTTTATTTTTCTCAATGCCTCACATTTTAGGTAAATCAAAATACATTAAATAATTCTCCAAGCCATAACAACTACTCCTTTGGCTAATACCTCACCAGGTATTGAATTATGTCAAAAGAAAATACCAGAAATAGAAAATATTTTCAACACTCTACCTTTGATTTTGCCCACTAAGGAGAAAGTCATTTTTGGACCGGTTTCGTTCTTATTAGGGCTCTTCAGCAAGAAATAGAAATTCTCGACTCCAGTTTCTAATGGAGTCTGATGGCAATACCAAATTCGATCGAACAAAATTACGGCGGGTTGAGTATGTGTAGATATTCAACAAGCGAAAATGGTATTGCCATCTATACTTAGTAAGCAAAATCAAAGGTCGCTGTGATACCTAGTTCAGAGACTAGGTGGAATAAAAGCCAGGTGGGCTATTCTTTTCTTTTTTACGTAAATCAGTTTTCTATCAAATCTATTTTCGATAAATTTTCTTTTTGATAATTTTTCATTGTGGTTAATTGTTATTTCGATACATAGTTTTTTTGATCAAATGTTTTTGATAAATTTTGTGCTACCCAGAATGTAGAGATCTAATAGTACTGATTCATCATATTAAGAGTGATGTAGAGAAAATCTATCCCAATTAAATATTGATATGTTAATTTCATATGGTTATTAAACTCTTCCCTTTTCCACAACAAAATTATTTGTGTACTTGTATTCATGCATTTTCAGTATTACTCCTTATTTTCAGATTCAATTGTGACATTATCTGATGAAGATATGGTACACATACCTTCAGGAAGAGGTGAACCTAAATTCGTATGTGGCAAACATATGAAAGACATAGTTAATTTACCCAAGAATTTCAAGGACTTTTTCCTATCACAACAGCAACAATTCAACCCAGGTAAATGGGTTTTTTTTATAATTAAAACATATACATATATATTTATATTATGAATCTACCTTTTGTTAAATAAGCCAAATGTAACTCAAACCTGGTTGATATTGGCATATTATTGATATTGTAATATCAAAATTTAATTTTAAGAAGTTAATTTTTTTTTGGGCTTCTAATGTGTCTTCATAGCGAGTCAATTATATGTTTTTCAGCTTCAGACCTTCATGTAGACTCCGATTCGAATTCTGATGAGGAAGAGGAAGATGGTGGTTGCTGTTATTTTGGTATGGGCACCAGTTTGATAGTGCCAAGTATGCATGATCGCACGCCATCTGTGGGAGAGGAAATGAGCCTGCCAGGAGAGGGAGCCAGTGCAAGAAACCAATCGTTCCCGAGAGTTTATGTATTTAATACGAACAGAGACAGAGATAACAGTCCTGGGGAAAGCAGACGAGACAGGTGAGTCATTAGTGAATTACTATGACTGTCTTAGTGGCCACATGGATTAATTTATTACCCACAATCCAGTTTTACAATAGTATTTCAATCAGTCAATATTAAGTACTAAAAATTAATATTATTTATAACTAAAAGAGATAAAAAAGAGAAATTATTATTCCTAATTGAGATAGATGTATGTATGTGTTCTTTAATAGTTCTAAATTATTTTAATACATCCTTGAACATATCAATATTATAAAAATAATATATTCTCGATTTCGTATTAAATAAACTAAGACTGAATATTTCTGATATTAGGCGACAAGAAGGTATAAATTGAGGGGTCTAGAACCAAAAGCGGCAATCTCCATTTTTTTTTTGCGAAAATGAGTTAAACATCTAGATCTAGATAAATAGTTTTAAACATGCATAAGCGATTAAAATAAAAAACGCGAACCTAATCCTTTAAAATCTCACTGAAATTTAATGTGTACATTCAGGGTTAGTTTTAAACCCGGTAATCTCCACGTATCAGTTGGTACCAAAACCTCAGACTCAGACATGCAGAGGCAGAATCCATTTTTTGAATTAAATGGTTATTTTTTACTGTGTAAGAATTTAATTATTAATTCCTGTATGTTCTATTTACAGATATTAATTTTCTTGCAAGTGATAGTTCAAAGCTCTTTTGTATCACATGTTGTGTCCAGACATTTTAACAATTTTGTAAAATTCTCAAAAAATATTGAAAAACTGAACGAGATAAAAAAATTTATTAAATTAATTTTGTACCATAAGAACTAGGTTTTTTTAAACGTACGATTTTCTTTTCCTGGAATTATGCACCCATATTGTAACTTGACAAACCGGGCCCTAACCTAGTTTTTCAAATACCCTTAACCTTGGCCTAAATTTTGTCTAGTGAATCCCCACGAAGTGATGTTAAAAAACCCCCAGAATTACGTTTAGAGTTCAATGTAGCTGTAATGGAGGAAGAACAAAGGAAACACCGAGATTAATTTGGAATACTGGTTATTTAACATCTATTCTTTTGTACAGCCGGACATTTAGATTATGTGCCGTTTTTAGGCTTAACATTATGTTTATGTAGGCTTTTCAATGTGTCATTTCTAACCTCAGAGCTTTTAGTTCCCATAAAAGGGTAAAATAAAAGTCGGAAGTACTTTGGTATATTTGTTTGTCTCCGTTTCCACGGAAATACTGAATTACGCATTGTCTAATAAAAGAGAGTACAGCGGTAGCACGGGGAGTTCGGTGAGATATCAAATATTGCGTCGAATTGAGAACCTCCTCCTTTTTTGAAGTCGGTTAAAATTATTATTGCTAATATGTGTAAAAACCGGAGTGTAGATTTACCTCACCATGCGTCACGCCTTTCTCTAATATTCCAATGCCGTAACCCAGCAAACATTTTGGTGTAATTTGACGTCGATACTACCTAAATTATATATAATAAATTTGGTCGCAAAATTAGATTTAACCATAATTAAGTAAAATTTACGTTGGCTCGACGTGGATTCGACATAAGTGGAGAATAAGACGACGTCGAAATTTGGTTTTATTTACCAAAATAGGTAGAATTACATATAAATCCACATTGTAGTAGCCCAGTACGTTTGGTTAGTAATACCTCTCTAGGGAAATTTGACGTCAGTATAACGTTAATTCGACGTTGATTTAACTAAGTTTAGGTAGAAACTACCAAAATATTTGCAGATGACGTATGCCTCCAAGTGTACGAAAAGAAATTTTATACTTATTTGGTATTTTTATCTATATATAAGTAGAAATATTGTAAGAAGTCACCAACACAACTAAAACATATACCTAATTCACATGAAAGATTGAAAATAAATAAATGTCGGTGACAAAAATATATGTAATGTAATTGCGGTGAATATACAGTTCACGCTTGTTGAAATTAATGCGAAGAAAATTTTGTCGTGCATGTTAACAGTTCTACTTAGAAAAATAACAATGCCCTTCCAAAATACTCTCTAATTAAAAAAATATAAGAAAAAAATATGATCGTGTAAAAAAATAATATTATGAGCTAAAACTATGTTACGTTTGTTGTGTATCACTTTAGAAAATCAATAATGTTTCGTTCTTCGGTATTTTCATTCGCATGTTTTAGTTATGGTCATTTTAAAAATTTAAAATTTGTAATCGTACTTCAATTACGTTAAGAAAATATGGCGTATTGTGCGAATTCGACCTAAAAGTTATTATGACTAAGGAAATCTACGTATTTTACAAACACTTTTTTACTAAGTTGAATTAACTTCAATTTCACGACATATTAGTGAACTTTACCTATTTAAAGAAATAATAACTTATAGGTTTTATAAAAAATTTACCTATAGGTAAATATAACATATTTAGGTCACGAATGTTCTGCACTTGAGATTTTAGACGTTTCACTTTACGATAAAAATCGGAAGTATAACGATATGATTTATTATTTTTCGAACTCATTTTAATAATGATTTTTTGCACTCATTTAAAGCTCTATCTACACCACACGTAAATTAAGATTACGACTGTAATGTTTTTTTTTTTAAATGGCCGAAATTCTTAAGAATAATGACGAAGACAGTAACTGAACTACCTAATTGTTAAAATAACCTAAATAATACAAATTTTACAAATAGGTCATGTATGACTCTTTTTAAATTGGTGGTTTTTAGTCGAATTTACTTTGTGGTAGATTTTTCAGGTAACTGCTACAACAAAGTTAATAAATATTTCTTCAAGATGACTTATAGGTCAACTAAATGAGTATTCGACTATTTGGTTGAAATTAGGTAGATAAACAGGTAGAATTTTGCTACGATCTCGACCTAATATTACTTTAAAGGAGAGTAAATAAAAGCGGCCAAATAGGTTACTATGGAGGCATAAAATTACGTAGAATTTTTAACCAAATCTACCAAGTTGGATATTCTACTATTAAGACGATTTTTAGTTGCCAAACAGGTATGTGGCACCTAATTTTACTACAAAGGAAATTTAACTTTGAAGTAATTGTTGGTTATTTTTTTAGTAGTTTTTCCCTTGCTGATATGGTTAAAGTTACTTTTAAGCAGATTTGTGTAAAAGGTAGATTTCTTGGTATAATTTACGTAAATTTAAATATAAATTAAAACCGTTTGGTAAATTTACATTAGAGGTATATTTTTCTAGTCAATTTTACGTAATAATTACCTCAATAAGTAAATTCGTCTTTAACAAAGTCGAGTTATAACTAATGTTATAGAAAATGTTTGCTGGGAATGTACTGACATACTCAGTCCTGTATAGAAAACACTGAACGGTCGATCGGAGAACACCTGATATAAAGGGGGATGCCCGTTCAGGCCCACTTTTGGGGTATCTCAGTAGAGATCCATCCAAGCCTCTATCAGGATTTAATTTACATAGCCGCAAGTAAAATACCATTTTTAGGCCCTTACTATTGATGTCCCTGGCAGTCTATGGTGGCCTAAGGCTTCTTTTTCGGCGCGATGCTCTTTTGCTCTGTCGATTGACAAATCAGTGTTATTAATCACAGTTCTGAGGATACGTTAGCTAGTCCACAAACACAATTTCACCTATTTATTCTAAATAAATAACAAGCATAACGACTACTTCCGCGTAATGTCCCGCTAAAGATATGTGGATATGTACAAATAAATACGACCCTCATCAATATTCATGATTCTACCCGCCGCTGTACATATCTCCTTTTTCCCGAAAAATCGATACACAAAACTAACACTCTTTATGGCTAAAATGACACATTTGTATACCCAATTTTGTTTTACAAAGAACGACAGAAAACATTTTTTTAACAGCAATCTAACTTTAACATATATACAAATCAAGGCATTTACCCTACTAATCTACATCTGTTTGCCATTTAAAAACAAAACCGAAAGTGCGTTTCTTCTCTACGGAAAGAAGCAGGTACTGTTTACAGACAACCCAAAACTTTACAATTCGGCCCTTTGGCCATAAATCTAAATTACTTAATTTATTACTTGAGAGCGTTGACCGATTTTACAACAATTAATATTTATGACAACAACACTATCGATTCTCTAAATAGTATAATTTAGCACAATATAAAACCCTGTAATTTTTCCCACAATAAACGTTTATCAATGAATACCAAAAATATGACAATAACACACAGACGCGAATTTTCCCGCTAATGAATATAAAAGTAATAAAGTGATACCTGTAACCCAATAATGTTAGTCTAAACTATCCCCCGGAATATCTGAATATTAAATACTAGTTTGATTACTTTAATAGTGCGATTATCGTTTTAATTCTACGTAAACGAAACCTTACAGAAAAAAGTATACCGCTGATAAAAGCGTCTACCGGGCGCAAGTTCGTCGGGTCAGCCTGAAGGGTGACGAAATCCACTACGAACGTCGCCTAGAGTAGTACTTTTAATCATTTCGTAACATTTTATAATGTTGAATCGGAGATATAAAATATCTGGCGTTTAACTAGACTAGCGTGGCATCACCAGTATTAGTTACGCCAATATTTTAGTCGCTCGGTAGATACAACTTTACAAAACAGTTCTAGGAGCGAAATCTGTTTCTATTCAACGTGTATCTGCTTGGTCAACCTGACTATATATCTCCTTTTACTTATATATAAAATATAAGAAAAAGGTGGTCATCCTAAGGACAACTGGATATCTATGCAGAAACTAATTTCTCTACTTCGTCGATATCTTTTATTTCCGTTGTCAAAATATAACAATAGCGCGGCCACCGTGAGGGTAGCGATATCTCTTTTTAATTATATTTGAAGAATATAAAGAAAAAGGAGTCACCGTGGCGGTAACGTAGATATTTGCGTTTTTTTGTTAACTTGACTCGGCGAAGAAGAAAAAGCTAATGTTCCCCCAGCCCACAAAAACCTGGGCATTTATACTTAAATTTCCCATATACGCAAATGTATCAGAAAGAGAACGACTGTGACTTTGGTGTATAAAGACTATAAAGCTATGTATTAATTCCTGAATATAGCCCTAACGTCTTACATCTGTTTTGTTCTAACGCCGTTAGAGCCGACTTCTTTTCACAGAAGAAATTAAACGGCGCCTACGAGGCGGGATACGCTGGGATGTTGTTTGAATTCGAAATAAAAATTTGAATATATGTAATATATAAGAATTATTTAAATTAATTATCAACCTCCGGTTGTCGGATTTCAATATAGCTATGTTTCCGCCAAAAAAATAATCTTTATTTCAAAAAAAAGTTGATAGATACAAATATTTATAACTGACAGCACAGAATAAAATGGTGTCCAAAACAAAACGATTTTTAATTTAAATTAGCATCTAAATATTCGCTAAAAGAGTAAGGTTCTAATTCCATAATTAGTTTTTTAATTTCTTTTTTAAATTTATTATTTAAAAAACAATTTTTTATTCTTAATGGCAGTTTGTTATAAAATTTTATTGCCATGTAGTATGGAGATTTTTCAGCGATTTTTATTTATGATATGGATAATTTAGGTGATTTTTCCTAGTGTTGTAGTTATGAAAAATTGTACTATTATGAAAAGCGTCTTTGTTTTTATTAAGATATATTTAGCACTCGAAAATATATAAACCATAAACAGTCAAGGTGTTATTTGATTTAAACACAGTCCTGCAAGATTAATTAAATTTCATATCATTAAATATTCTCACTGCTCTTTTTTGTATTAGGAATAGTTAATTAACGATTCAGTTTATCCTGAATATTTATATATTATGGGATTAGAAAAAATTATTCGATAAATTTACAATTGGTTAGTTGTAATTAAATTACATAATCCTTATTTTTTTTACGGCCTGCACATTACTGGAATTCAACGATATAGACAGTTTACAGTGATGCCAGACATTATTTGCTTGTTAAAAACGTACACGTTTTAAAACATGAATACTCATCGAACGCCAGTCAAGAATATAGATTTTAAAAACTACTCACTTTTCAACCATCACTTTCGAAAATATTTCAAATCTGCTGTCACTTAACAGTATAGTATGTCATTATAAGAGAATTAAGTCTCTGTAAACTAGTACACCTACGTTGGTAAATAGGAAAGAACAAAAGTGGAAAGGTGAAAATTTTAAAAATTATTAAATTCATTAAAATAAGTGATGGCCAAGGTTTTTAAAATTTTTAAGTTTCCAAATATGTATATTTCCACATAAATTAAAAATTTTAGTAATACACAGATTCACTATAAACTGCATTTTTGCCATTTTGCCCCTGTCTGTACAACATGACAGTTTATCTTTTTATTGTTTCTATCAGATTCGATCTAAAATTGTTTAATTTCAGTAATTCCCCTACTACATCAAGATCGCAGTCAGAGAGGAGAAACTCCTTAGAAAATTTCCCCGCGTCGAGTACAACAAAACGACGTCATGACAACAGTGATGGAGACAGTGACCATGAAGCGGTACAAAGTAAAAGATCAAAGAAAACATCATCTTCATCTGCTTTTGATGGGTTAACTACCGAAGCACAAGAAGCCTTGGTAAATCAGCTGGTCGAAAGTGTTGATGACGTCAGTGCTCGGATAGAGAAAATCATGGAAGCTAACGGACTTACTGCTAGGGATTTGGAAAGAAGGAGTTTGAGGTTAATGGATGAACCATCGACGTCCCGAGACAGAAATGGCACACACCGATCCCCTTCTTGCTCCAACACCAGTGATAATCAACCTGGTAGTTCTTCTGCAACAAATAACAGAACCAACATGCCTTCCTGTTCGAGAACCGATACTGCAAACGCCAGCAATGGGCGTGAGAGGTTTCCTAGCAATAGTAGCAGAAGCAACACAAAAGATGGCGCTGGAAGAGTTGACTTGTCACCTAATAGTAATAATTTAGGAAGAATGTTACAGGCTGCCAATCCGGGATCGAATAATGGAGCATATGAGAGGCTGGACGAAAGGTTAGTAAACTTGAAATTGTACTCTAAATAATGGGAATAGACTTCTATTGCTTTAATAATAATTCAAGCGTGTCATCAACTTTTTGACAGGACATGCCCAACTACAGAGAAGCTGTTTTACTTTGACCAATTCGGGGCTTTAAATTAAATGTTAAATTAATATAAATGTGATCCACCAATCCAACGGCGGTGGGCGGGGTTCTATTGATAATGTGCCTGACTTGCTCTTAAAGCAAACAAATTCTACTTTTGTTCATAAATTACAGTCCAGTCTGCCTGATTTTTATCTCAAAATTTAAGTATTCAATTTATTTTTCAGTCACTGAATTAAATTTGACACGCTAGTAGTTTTTTTTTTATTTTTGAGTTTAAGCAACAGTACTTTTTCTCTTCACAGGAAAATTTGATTTATAAATGTTTTCAAATCAAAATATCTATATGATACTTTGTTATAGTTTATTGCATGATAAAAGTAATGTTTCTAAAGTAGACAGAGTTAAATTTGTTTGGTTATAATTTTAATTAAATGCATGATTCATTAATTTTAATAGATATAGTCATTGCAATGAAATTTCCAATGCACCTCATAAACTCATGAAAATAGACGTTGCCACGTTGCTACAAAATTCGAGGATCTCAAGAAACATTTTATAAAAACTAATGTTTAATTTGAACTCCATCTTTTGACACTTTACATAAGTAATTCATTAAACCTGTATCCGAGAATAACAACCACAGAGACGCGACAATAACTGTCGGTCCTTTGAAGTTCAGAGATTAAAATTTTGTAACCTTGATTTGACTTATGAGACGGATGGCCGGTATAATACACCAAGAAAAAAATTAATAAAGCGCAATAAATGATATACAGAGAAAAAATATATTGAAATTGAAAATATTATTTTACCTTACTTATCGTGCATAAAATTTATATAATAAAATATTGGTTTTTATTACAGTAGTTTCTGTCATGTTAAAACTTTTAATTTGATTTTTCCAAAAACAAAAAATATGCTAATAGGCATTTCCCGTTAATAATTATATCTATTAATAATGCACAAATCCTACTTCCTGTTAAAATTAAAAATTATTGTTATGTTTCTTACTCTTGAGTTCCAAATACACATCCGTAAATGTCATTTTTTACTTATATTATTGGTAGGGGGCCAGTGGCACTTTTAGGTGTTATTTGCGCAAGGCAAAATTACATAAAGCATCTTGTCAATTAGATCCAAAGGCACAAGGTTGCTACTTAAGTGCTGAAGAACAACTCGATGCCATTGAACACATAGTTAGCTTCGCAAGAAGTTCACATTTCTCTGATGATACCATTTCTCCAATAATTGATCATGAACAGTTGCTTGTTGAAATTGCCAATTATAGAGCGCACGAAGGTATGTGGGCGAAAGATTTCATTTGGACTGCTTCGCAGAATGTAACACCTATCATTTGGTGGAAGGGAATCATTGGACAGAACAATCAGTGAAGTTTTGTGTACACGCAGTGGCGGGCGGGAAAATATACTTTTGCATATAGAATATGGTTAATGATGGAGTGTAGCTTGTGCAATCAAATCAAGCAACCTACTAAAGAACTGAATCCATGCTACCCGTGTGATTCCTGTAGAAACTTAATTTGTTTGGAATGCTCCAAATTAACTGCATCTGAAATAAGATGCTTACCATTATCTTGTCGTGTCCTAAAAATCCAGTGCATTAAGTGCCTTAATTATGAATTTATTGAACTTTTGCGTGACCAAATCAATGATAAATGCCAAATATTAAAGGACAAAGAGGACATTATTGAAATACTGAAAAGTAAAATTACAGACTTGGAAAATAGAATTAGTGAATCTGCTAACCATGGCGCTTCTACATCTACCTATGCTCATATTGCCAAAAATAATACGAAGAATGTGAAAAACAATCGTCCTAAGATAATTATTAGACCAAAAATGCGTCAGAATCGACAGAAAACAAAGGAAGACATTGAGGGGGAGGTTAAGCTACAAAATTTAAAAATAGGTGTACAAAAAACAACTACAGTGCAACCTCGATAATCCGAACCCACGCTAATCCGAACGCAAATCGTGATGCGAGATAGTCCGAACGCTGACAGGAAAAGACCTGCAGCGTGGCCCGCGTCGCCCATATGTAGTTTGATAATTCATTTAAATGTACAAAAATCAATATACAAACATAGATCTAAAGGTCTAAAAATGTGTAAGAGGTGTTTTATTGTATATTCGTTAATCCGAACAATTCGATAATCCGCAGAAGGTCTGACAATTAGGTGTTTGGATTAAGGAGGTTACCCTGTAATTCCGGATCCGTAATTATTAAATGTTTGACCAAAGAAGAAACTGAAACGTTATAAAAAACTATTAAAGAAAAATTAAGTACGAGTTACAACATCGAGTTAAGTAAAATGGCCAAACCCAGTGTAACACGCTTCCGAATCCACTTACAAAGAATCGGGAAGTCTGTGTGGCGCTATGATGGTGAGTTATGAATAGGGGTTGCTCTGGCGCCAATTTTGGTAACACAGTTTACTCTGCGACCCTGTAGCACACCAGAGTGTACTCAAGGTAAACTAAGTGGAGTAAAAATAAAATTCCAGGCTGTCACTGCTAAAGGTAGCCACTAAATTAGGATTAAAGCACTTATCTTCCTTATACCCTGTAAGAAAACGGTCAAGAGCAAAAAAAAAGAAAAATAATTAACGGTTTAAAATACTAGAAATAAGTATACAGAAAAGAATTTTTTTACATATGCTAAAATTAATTTTCAAAAACAAACAGGTTTAATTAAATAAACTGTCCTAAGTTTAGGGAGCAACTAGCTCCACCCTGTAGCTTTTCAAATTCCAAATTTATTGTCCCGGGGGTGCCTCAAGGATCCATTTTGGGGTCCTTGTTATTCCTTATATATACTTCAGAGTTGCCAAAAGTTGTTAGAAATAGGGAAATACAATTGTATGCCGACGACACACAGATTGTTCATTGTTTTGAACCTACAGATATTCCTAATACCAATAATATAAATATGGATTTAGCTGCCATTTTTAAATGTTCCAGAGAACATAACACTCAATCCATCTAAGACCAGAGCAATCTTATTTTGTAGTAAACCCAAAATAAATATATGTGAAGGTTCATTAAGGCTCGAGTTGGGTGGAGTTGGAATAATTTTTTCTGAGAAAACCAAAAATCTAGGATTAATCATAGACCAATCACTTAGATTCAAAGACCATATTCAAATGTTACTTCAAAGATGTTATATGCCAACAAGCATATCTTAAACTTCAAAATGCATAAAAAGCTTTGTGAGTCTTTGTTTCTTTCAGTTCTAAACTACTGCATTACACTTTATTACCCTTACATTGATAAAACCTCACAAAACCAGCTACAACGTGTACAAAACACTTGTAGGTATATTTTTAATCTTAGGAAATACGATCACATATCCTTTAACATTAATGAACTTAAGTGGTTAAACGTTAACAATTTATTTCAGCTAAATTTTCTAACTTTCTTGTATCGCTTATTTAAAAATAGGATTCCTTTATATTTGTTTGAAAAGGTAATTTTTAGAAATGCTGTCCAGAATTGTAATATCCGATTTAATACTCTTACCATGGCCACACCATTCTACTGCACTGTTTGAGCAATTCTTTTACCTATAATTTAGTTAAGTTTTATAATTTGTTTCAGCATCTTATGTATCTTCCTTCAATTAACAATTTTCGTTACACTATTAAAAATATTCTCCTTAATGGGCAATAAATAATTGTTTTCTGAACATTTAATTCAAATTCTATTTTATATTATTCGCTTAATTACTATTGCCTGACAACTCTTTTAATGCTTTTGTCCATTTCTAACTACTTTTTCCATTTTTTTTTTTTATTTTCTTTTCTTTTGTAAACCAAGAAGGTTAAAAGTTAAGAAGTAGCTTCAGCTAATCTTCTCCTTCTTGGTTCAAATGTAATGTAATAATTTATTTAATAAAGACATTATTATTATTAAATATTGATTTGGCAACTGTCCATTACCCACTTCAATCTTGAAAATCAACAAATATGACCAACACCAATGATTTATCTGTTCAATTTGATAAACAATTTTCATCATTAATGACGTGCAATGGACATTTCATTGCAATGACTATGAGGAATCTTGTACCTAAAAATAATATTGGATTAATATTTTTTTGTATAGTTTCGGCTTATATGGAATATTTATCATTTTTGGTGTTGTTTTCATTCCTAAATTTTTAAATATACTATAATAGGGAATCCTTTATAGTTGTACATATCTCTTTTTTTAACGAAATTAAGTTATCCCATCTTCTATAAAGAAAATTTATATCAATTGTTATTTTCCTACCGCGCTCTTTCTTGAGATTCTAGGACTTTAATGTTACGTTTTTATGTTATATTTTGTTGCAAAAACTAAAAACAACAAAATGTAATTTATATGTGTGTCAAAATCATCTCCATCACTTTCGATACCTAGCATAATTGTGTTGCATAATTTTAAATATGTTGTTATATTTTGCAGTTTTTAATGTGTTTTGAATGTGACTAGGAGATTTTTATGTTAATCTTATCAAAATACCATATACAGCTTTGTACTCTTGTTACTGTTATTCAAATGAATGTATAAATGTATGTATATTGTATAAATATATATACACATATTTACTAATATTACTTTATGTCTTTAGCACATACAGGTGCTTGCACCTAGGTGCTTCATTTTAATTTCAGTTTACCTATATTTTAATTTAACATGAAAAAATGTGAATGTAAATTTTATAATGAAAATAAATAAATAAAATAAATCAGTCTTCAACAATACCCGTATCCCACATAACAAAATTGATGTCATCAGTTGACCAAAGGTAACATTAATAACTTCAATAATAATCCTAAAACAAAACTGATACTTAAGTCGCCATAAAACTCACTACAGCCATTTTCATTAAATTTCTTGTTTTACCAGTTCATGTGGGATAGGGGTATTGTTAAATACTTGTTAAATTGGCAATCAAAACATTAATTCAAAATAAATATTAAAAAAAAATGTTATTAGAAAAATATTCATAATTGTATTTTTCAAACGTTGTCTAACACTGTTTATTTTTTAAATAAAATCAAATATTTTATTAAAAAGACCAAAAATTGTTTATTTTAGAATGGAATTTCGAATTATCCAGGTCCAAGATCACAACCACTGGAAAATAAAATGGAAAATACCACTTAAACAGCTCTCCCTGAGAGGATATAGGAAAATCAGCGACTTCACCCTCAGCTACATAAAAAATCTCGACATAGAGTTGATAGACTTGACATACACCAGTGTTACCAAAAGTGGAATCGAGAATTTTCTTGTTCACAATCCAAATTGTAGGGTGATCCATCCCTTATACTGTATTTGTAAGCCCAAAAATCCCCTTTTTTAAAAAGTATTTTTATTTAAATGAAAAAATTTATTTATACTTGCCATTTTTAAGAAAATAAACTGTTTTGATAATCATAAACATAGTGTTTTACTTACATCAACTATATCATAAAGATATTTTAAATTTTTATTACAGACACTACTACAGAAAACTGGTTAAAACTTAAAAATAATGTAACTATATATACATCTATTTTATTTCTGTAAATATATTCAGTCTCTCAAATTTCAGTTAAATGCCAAAGTTAAAAATTTACTAACATCTAATTTGTCATTTCTTTAAATTTGAATCCAAGTTTTAATAGTTCCTCTTTAGCTTCTTTAATTTCCTGAAAATAAAATGTAAAATTAATTAGGTTTGTTCGTAATTTGAAAGTTGTAAACTTATTTAACATTTTCCTCTTAATAGAAAATGCAACCGGATCTCTCAAACATAAATGAATAATTCTGTCATTTAGTAGAGTTTTTATGGAATCACTTCTATCATTCTGTTGGCATTTAATAGATAAAAATTGTATGATTAAGAAAAATTTATATAGTTTTTGATTTCTATTTTAAAGGGCATATGTTGTCCAGATATTTTAGAAACAAAAGTTTAATATATGTTTCAAAAGTAAAAATTATTAAAAATCATATTTAAAAACCTCTATTTACTTTAGGAATATATTTTAAACCCTCAATTACTTAAATAAAATAACATACCTACAAACTAAAGGAAAAGAGAAAATCTCTGAGTCAAAGAAATGTTTCCCTCCCAAAAACAACTTCTTTGGCTAATGCTGGAACAGATATTACATTATATCAAAAGAAAAGTAGCAGAGAGAAAATAATTTTCAACACTCTTAACTTTGATTTTACCTCCTAAGGAGAACGTCATTTTTTGATAGGGTTTGTCCTTATTAGGACTTATCATTTAAATTGGTCACATTTGAGAATAGGAATATATTTCCCCTGAAATAATAACAGTTTAAATACTAGATATTTAATATATATTTGGTTGGCTCATGTTTTACATGATCTCTAATGCATGGCATCAGCATTTAGTCATTTATTTAAAAAAAAGTAGTTATGATTTAAATGTAGTATTTCCCCTGCATTCTGATTGTTTGAAGTTTTATTAATGTCATAATTCCATAACAAGTGTAGAATTGTTCCAAATATAACAAAACTTAGACCAGCTGTTGGTTGACAAAACCCAAATGGTCTGGGATTAGTTTAGAAGATTCCAGAAATTTTAGAGAAGGAAGCTATATTTTTTTAAGAACTACTTCCAGAATAGTATATATAATCCAGTCAGTTACCTAACTTATTTTTGATGAGAACAATAATATATGGCACAATGCAAATAGAATGTATATTATTTATAGTGGAATTTGCAGAGAAATTTTCTAAATTCATTAGCAAGTGGAATTTTGTTTGTGATCCAGAATAATTGACTGCCATTGGAGCGGAACTTTTGGATTTAAAGGCTGAATTGTACTGGTTCCTAGCCTCAAAATTATTTATTTAAATAGGATCTTTTATAATAATATGCATTTAATGGGATTAGATTTTGTACTTTCAAGTAGCATCAGAGATCTTTTCTTCATTTTTTACTTACTTAACTTTTAGCCAAAAATGTATAAATTTACTAACCTTCTGTAGCTCCATAGCAGCTTCCTCACAGTCATTAAAGGTAAACACCCTGTAGAGCACCACACTAGCAGCATAAAGCTAAAAATTAAAATTTACTTGTTAACTCATGTTTGACACCTGGGCAAAAATGTTACTTACACCAAAAATAAGTACAAAAACAATGGGTGAATATAAAATTACATTGTAATTTTCATTAGCAAAAGTACTATGGTCTTTACTAGTTATTAAATGAAACCAAATGGCAAATAAAATGCCTAAACCTGCGAGCCATTCTTGCAATTTCGTCATTTTTCAATATTTAATTTAATTTTTTTTTAGGGAATTTTGAGGTTATAGAATTCTAATGACTGTCACGTCAGTCATTGCGTTCGGTTTGCCACGTTCCTTTAACACTTTTAACTCCAAACGACTCTTTTAGCGTTCGGTTTAGTCCGATTAGTGACAGTTTAACACGCTTAAATGTCATTTAAAAGCACCCTAAAATTTGTCCCGCTCCAGCCCCTGACTGACCGAACTCGCCTACTGTCACCAGAGACAACACCATGACAACACGTGTCACTGAACCACGTGTCATTCATTTTGCACTGGAACCATAGAGAATAGAGAAAATAGCAGTTCTGGAGTAATACATCGAACATTTTAACCAATCACCGACATACCACTGTTATTCTATCTTTATTTAGAGTGTTAGAGTTATTAATAACTGTTAATGACGTAAGTCTGAGATAATATATATTTTTATCAATCGTGTCAAAAGTAAACAAGATAAACTAATAACGAAATATGAAAAATGTGACAATGACAGGCTTTTTGTTTTGATAACATGTTGATTGACATTAATTCAAAAATATATGTAATTGAAATTAAAAATCTTTAGTTTTACATCTTGTATAATTACTGTGAATTATTTATATTTAGATCAAAATGTTTAAAATCACTATTGTCAAAATTTCTCCAATATTTTTATATTAAACATTAATTGTTTAGAACATCTTATTTTAACCAATAAAAGTGGCACTGATTGATTACAATCAAATTATTCACAAAAATACAGATACTCTATCAAGAAGATGGAAAGTACTATGAGATTTATACAAAAAGGTATGACCTTATTTTTTGTTGTCCATATAACATTTCTTTCAATATATTTTAGATGGATTTAAGGCAACTGCAGAGGATATTGAAAATTTTAAAGTTCAAATTCAGAAAATTGATGGTTCAGTTGTAAAAACACCTAATGATTATTCCTACATTGATATCACAATACCAGAGGGCAGTTATAATGTTATTCGGTAAGTTGTTCTCTTCCCATTTTTAATTATAAAGCATTTTATTTATATTTACAGTTAAGGTATTTATTATACAAAATTACATTAAAATATTGGTATTAATCAAATAAAAACAAGATATGGATAATACTTATATCTGTATATGATTTGTTTATCTTTATTTAAAAATTGATAGCTATAATAAATCTAAGGTGGATGTTACCTAAAAATTAATTAGTATCTATTACTTATAGTTAGAACATTGATGGGAAAGTTTTAATCTTTTTGTATTAGATATTTAAGTGTAATTTAAAAGTAATATTTACTGAATATTAGAGTTTTTTATCCAAATATGGTTATTACTTAATAATAAATAAATAATATACTTAGTGATGTTATCTAGAATCAATAAATGTGTGTACGAATATCTAGTACAAGTGCAAATAGCCTAGATGGAGTAATGTGTTCTGATTACACATTAATTTTACATTAATTAAATAACCTTTTTTTATTTTTCAATTTATTTACATACTAATTTGTGTTTGGTTTAATTCTACAATTTTATATAAACATAGCTTGGGTTGAAGACTCGGTTGAAGACTAACGTGTTTTTTATTTGATTCATTTATAATGAAACAAAAGCCTTATTATATGGTTAATACAAATCAATACTTATGTATATCCTATTCAATATTTAGGTATCCTCGCATTTATCTTATCTAAGAATTCTAAACTAGTTCAGAAGAATTGTTCTAGTTTACGACTACGGTAGCGTAGACGCGGCATTCATTTGTGAGTCAATTTTATTGTACAACAGACAGGGGTTTCGAATCCTACAAAAGACTATGTGAATTTATTTGCATGGTTCTCTATAGGATTTGATAGATGCTGTATTAGCAGAAATTTAATTTCTGTTGATATGACATCCAGATTTAAAAAATCGCCATGCGTTACCGTTTTCGATGATGGTGGGTGAGGTTTTCCGGGTTTTTCTCACTTGTAAGTCAAATGGCGCCATCAATCATCTTTAAGTCGCCCCGGAACGCCACGGCAAATAATAATAATAATAATAATAGCCTCCCTTCCCCTACACAAGTCACTCTGTTGGCTTCAGGGGTTGAAATTCACTTGTAAGGGGGTGAATTAGGGATAGTATTATTATTATTATTATTATATAGAAATATTTAAAATGTTGCTTAATATACAGGGTGTTTGTAAATAGATGAGAAAGACTTTAGGGGGTGGTTGCCGAAGTTATTTTGTTAAATATAAAAACGGGAAAAAATCAGTGGCGCACCATTTTTTTTAAGTTGTGGCATTCTCGCACGAACGCCACTGGTACAAATAAAAAATGCACATTTATCCCTCCAAAGCGTTTTACAAATTTCGAGTTAAGTAATATCTTAATAAATAAATAATTAATGAAAATAAATAAAAAATTTAAATTCAAAAACTCTATCTCGGAAACGAACCAAATTTTACAATATGATACCAGAACACATTAAAGACATAAAAAATACAACCCATTTTAAAGCCAAATTAAAAGAGTTTATTTTTGGAAATGCTCAAAGCCTGATTCAAAATTACTTCGTAAATTAGGAGTTTGAAATTACCACTTCCTTACTTTTAATAATAAAAAATAAAAAAAACTAACTAATTTTAATTACGCCATATATTGGCCTACAAAATTATTTTTATATGTTAATAACAATTTTGAGTAGTTTAATAAATTGTGAATAGCTGTTGAAATTTTGTAAAATTATGATTTGAATATTATAGTACATGTTTAATAATTATTTATAGTCCATAAATACATATAATTGTCCGGTTCCGCCAGTAACAATTTAAAATTACTTATTCTATGAAACGACACTGGCAGGTAAACATTCCAACTTCAACTTGTGCTATATTTGAACTTTTTTAATATTAGTTAAATATCACAAACAAGCTGCGTTTATATTCTACTTATTAATGTATTTTTTGAATGAATAAATATTATATTTCGACCTACACGTTTAAAGGAACTTTTTTTTAACAAAATAATTTGAGCCACCACCCCCTATAATCTTTCGAACTTATTTACAAACATCTTGTATATGATTATAAAATATTTTTTGAGGCAAATACCAATCTATATCCAATACAACAAGTTATAGTTATTTATTAATTTGAAAATAGTTACAAGAGGTGCCCTACCCGCTAAAAATACTTGTGGTATGGTATATGAAACTAACATTGTGAGTATATACCATCCAGGAATATTGAATGAAAGTAATGAAAGAATTTCAGGGGTTATTGATTGTACTGATGAGGACTTTATACAGGAACATAACAGGGGATAAATTCTTTGTCCCAGTGATAGTATTTGAAATTCATTTCCGAGATGACTTGATCTAACTGTATTGTAGTCAGACCAGAAATATTTTTTAAACTATAAATAAGAAATGTATTTTGAACCTTCTCTAAGTTGTGTATTCAGAAAACTAAAGAGTCATTGCGAAATCTAATTTAGGTCTTACTACAGGAAAATAGAGCACCTTTATAGTGTTAATATTTGTAAAATTTGCTGTCTTATTATGATGTATCCCGATATCTTATAGACAGCGAAAATTATGTTTTTTAAGTGTGTAGCAAATAAAAAGACTGTTGTAATTTACACCAATGTCTTTAATTTCTATGCACCTTCCTTCTTCCCATCTCATATTTGAATCCTTATCACTTTACATTTACTCATGTTAAAATGCAGTTTGTCACACTCCATTCATAAAACCCTATGCATATCTTTTTGTAGTATAACACAATCTCGAACAGAATTTATTCTTCTGTAAATTTTGAGGTCATCTTCAAATAGAAGACTCTCAACGCCCGTAAGAACGGAAGAAAGATCGTTGATAAATATAATAAATAGTAGAGGTCCAATATTTAATCCTTATAGTACTTCAGAATACTCCAGAATGTGCATGGTATTTCTTAGAAACATTTCTATTATGCCTAGCAATAAACTTTCTATTTTAGCTTTTTAATTCTATAAAGTGCTTAGACAACCCAAATTTTTCTATATTTTTTAAGTATATCATAATTTACACGATCAAATGCTTTTCAAAAATCTATGAAAATTTAAGATTTAACTCCCAAAGTTTAGAATTCTCGATTTCCAAAAATGAACAAGTTAGTATTTATAGATTTATTAGACATAAAATCCTGTTGTTGAGATACAATGTAGGTACTTTTCTATGTATTGATATAATTTATTTGTTCAAATAGTTTGGATGAAGAACACATTATCGAAATGGGCCAATCATTTTCTACATTTTACTTTTTACCAGTTTTATAAATTGGTTTAATGACAGCAGTTTTCCATTGCACTGGAAATATTTTTGTCTTGAGAATTAAAATAAAAATAAGTAAGGGACTTTCTTAGCCATTCGGTTTAATTCTATCCGTACATTCAGCTTTTTTGGTTTTATTTTTCTGACCCCATTAATGATTTTTGTGTAAATTATTTTTTGTATTGGGCATACCTATATTTTCAATCAATCCAAAATCAAAAATATGATAAATATATGATTGTGATTCAAAAAAATAAGTTTTGAAGAAAATTTCTCACTACTATAAATTTGTAACATAACCTATTCCTTCAGCTAGGGTCTGATTACAATAAGAACACAATACGTCATCACTTGATGGAGTAATTCGTTGGATATCGCCGCCTACTGTTGGTTTTGTGATTTGTTAATATTATATAGGAATATGGGAATTATTTTTTTATACTAAACAACTTATTCTTTATTTATTGATAGTTATAGATACTATATATTTTAAATTCGAAATAATGGTTATGACGTAGCGGTGATCTTATTTTAATCGGACTTTACTAAGTCTTTCAATTAAAGATGTACGTACATCATTAAAAGTTCATTTTGGTGAAATTATGCTGCATAAAAACATTACAGTTAAGGGAGAAATGGTGTGGTTTGATCAAGTTCGACTTGAAGAGAAAGAGTGATGTGTTACAAACTGTTGAGCGGAGGTTTGCATTTATTCAACTATTTATTTTAAAG